TGTTACATTTTTCATCAAAGTTATTAAATAATTAAGAAAAAAACCAAATCTCAATATCATCCCTTTCAAATGAGGATTTTAAAGATTGAATTTGCGCCCTTGCTGAACAAATATATACCATAAAAAAGTCTCAAATGAATTTTTAAACATTTCTCTACAATACTGCTTTCTCAGCTCAACTTCCATGTACGTACGTCTAGCCAGACACTCCCTTTAATAGTAAAACATTTCAAAGTGATAGCGTCTAAAATACAAGAGTGATAGGGCAAAAAACAAGCCTGTTTAGGGTTAAACAAATTGTAGATGTTAGAGATGTCAACGTTTTGATTTTTCTAGATTTTAGCTTTCGTTACGATAGTGTTCATCAAAAGTATTAACGTTTGAAACGTTACGTTGCACATTTTGAAATTTTATGGTATAGAGTAACGTTACGTAATGAATTTTCTGCACTTGAATACCTTATACAACGTTAAGCTTTAGTAAATGTTATTGAAAAAACAGTAAGCTCCGTTACGCTTTTGCATTTGATGTTTTAGAAAACTTCCCCAACGTTGCGTTAAAGCTTATGAAATATAACCGCAATTTTTTAACGTTCCACTTTCATGCAAGGTAAATATTTTCAGAGACCTTACGTTACACTTTCACTTGGTTTAAGATCTTAAAGATGACAAACGTTTTGCTTTAATGAAACGTCCTTGGGGCATTGTTCTGTACGTTACAATGCATTTCAGTGCAAAGAATATTTTTTGTTAACGTTACGTTTTATCTCGTACATTTTACGTTACGTTACACTATCGTTGACATCTCTAGTAGATGTAACTTAAACTTTTCAAGTGACAATCTTTTGTAGGGTGGAATGTCCCGAGATACAACAGTACCTGTAAAGCTTCTTTAAAATTTAATTATTTTCATTTGTGGAATCACAACCCAGGTAACAAAAGTGAGGAATTTCCCCAAGTTCTCCAGTTTTTGTGACTTGCTTTTAAGAATTTTCGAGGAATTTCTCGAGAACAGTTTCTTGTAAATGATTCTTGGAAATTCCCAAGAAATTCCCTGGAATTACTCCCCAATTTTAGAGATTTTTGGCGGTCATATTTTTGAGACTTTGTTTCGAGAAATTCCTGAAAACTTCACACTAATGTTTCCAAGAAATTCCTGAGAATTTCTCTGGAATATTTCTCCGGAAATTCCTGAGAAATTCTCAGGACTTGGTTCCTAATTTCACGGATAGTCTGAAGAAATTCCTGAGAATTTCTCTGGAATTTTTCCCCAAGAAATTCCTGAGAATTTCTCAGAAATATTGCTCCATATATATATTTCTGAGAAATTCTGAGGACTTTGTAACTAATTTAAGAGATTTTTTGGGGAACTGAATAAGAGACATCATCTCATGAAATTCCTGAGAATTTCTCAGAAATTTTTCACCCAAAAATTCCTTCTATTATGTACTGCCCTTACTTAATGGGTTATGAGAAATTCCTCAGAATCTCTGTCGAAATTTTCACCGTATTTTCCTGTAAAAGATTCCTGGGAACTTCCGCGGATTCTTGAGAAAGATTCCTAGGAATTTCCGCAAATTTTCCGCAAAATTGTTACCTGGGAAGAAGATCATCTCAGGTCTGTAACGCCATTTTATTCTCTCTGTAGTCCTAAGAAGTCCTTTCCAGGTCTGAAAAGTCCTCTATTTTATTTGATTATCTTTTATTAGCCCTTTTTAGGCCCCAAAGTCCTGTAATTTCTTTCTGTGGTCCGCAATAGTCTCTTTAATGTATGTAAAGTAGATTCTGTATTGTTCTTGGTAGTCCAATGAGGTCCTTTGTATATTAACCAACATCTTCAGTCATTATGTTATTATGTTATAACTACACATGTAACAGCCTTTTTAGACTACTAGGTTTTTAGGGCGCTTCGCGCTCATCTTCTATTTAAATTTTGAACATGTTCTTTTGTTTACATTTTAAAACAAAGAAGAAAAATATTTTGCGGATTTAAAAAAAAAAATTCTCGGATTTTCAAGAATTTAATTTTTTTTACAAAATTAAAAACCTTTAAAACACATTTTTTAAAATTTTTATCATTCATAAATTCTGTCTATCTGTCTGTCTATCTGTCTGTCTATCTGTCTGTCTATCTGTCTGGCTACCTGTCTGTCTATCTGTCTGTCTTTCTGTCTGGTAATATAAGATAATATAAGATATATTTTATTGCTAACAGTACATATAATTATAATGTTACAGGCAAATAATGTGAACTTTATATTGTTTACTTTATGTATGTATTATAGCAATTAGGTGGAGATTACCTTACACCTTTACACCTAATTAATAAAAACAAACGTTAACAATATATTACTAGGATGATAATAGGGTATAATAAGAGAAAGAATGGGGAAATTTTTTTTTTCTGTTATTTCCATTAATTTTAAATCATTGATTTTCAATCATCATCATTAATCATCAATTATTCAAAAGTAATAAATATTTGCATTATTATCAAGGATGGATTAACTTTAAAGTGTCGCAAAATTAATTTAATAATCATAAAAAATGGGAAAATTGGAGATTCAAATTCTACACTTGTGACTTTGCGTGATTAGAACACCTTTTTAATGAAACCATATTATAAACAAGATGATTTGGCTTGGTGTTAGGAAATTTCAACACTTGTTAAAAGGTCGTCTTAGAACTAGAGAAACTCTGTAAATGGAAATACAAAGTTGGAAACATACAAACACACTTTTTATAATAGTTCTTTACTCCTTCTTTATAGAACACTAGATTGGGAACCCAGCTCTGCCCAGGTTGTAAAACTTTACCCGATTTTACCGAGAAAATAAATTTTTGCTATTAAAGTCACCCCACTCAACTTAAGTGCTCCATACCAAACTAAGAACATTACTGTGGGTTACCCGAGTTCCCCAATCAATATTTAAGGCAAATCGGTCCAAGGGTTCATGAGTTATGATCGGACAAAAAAAATTGTAACTTTATATATATAGATATGAAAAAATGTGTTTTTTTACGTCGTTTTAAAATAAAATAACAACCAGCTGAAAATGACATGTTTTTTTCTCATATTTTCATATGCCAAACTTATACCTACGCACGCACATTATTCACTATAAAGGGTGTCCAAATGAGAATTGGGTTTTCCGAAATCTTCTATGGAAAGAACTAACGCTGTAATGTACACTTGAGATTAATTGAAATAAATAGGATAAATGCATAGGTAAAAGTAGATGTGGGCATGTTCAGAATTTTTTAAACCCTTTAAAACATATAAATGCAGTGGCGTATACGGGGGAAGGGTTATCGGGTTTAATTCCCCCACTCTCCAATTCTTGGGGGAAATTATCCCCACCCCCTAGAGTCTACATGTCCATGATTACCATTAAGAGTAAAAATATTTAATTTTTTTAACAAAGTAACATAAATAAATTTGACAAAATTCATGATTTTTTGATGCAGTAGCGTACCATGTCAAATTAGGTATAAAGCTCTTTTTTTGGGGGGGGGGGAATAAAATGTTTAAAGATCAAGATTATTAAGAATAACATTCTAAAAAGTAAGACATTTTTTACGATATATGCAATGATTGAACTAAATTCAGTTTTTTTTTTATAGAATAAATGTGGTCAATGTAATAAATGAATATATCATAAAGGTGTTCACTATAAATAGAGACTTTTGAAAAGATGCTTTTACTTATTATCAGTTTTATATTTACACTGGGTTATTAGATTTTGGAGAAATTTCATGAGAAACACTAACTCCAAAGGCAGTCTCTGTGGATGTATATTTTTTCCAGTAAGGCCCTTAATTTTCAGGGGAAAATATGAGTTGTAATTTGCATGGTAGTTTTTAATGTAAAACCTACCAAAACGCATTTTCATCCACTCCTCTTTCATGTCCTTAATTTTCTTTATGATGAATATTCTTTAAAACACTGCATTTAATTTGTTCCTAGGGCACAGGTGGCTGATCATTGCAGATTTCTCATATTGATGGGTTTGCTATTTTATATAAGCTGTTTAAAAAGTCTCAATTTATAGTGGAAAACCTTTACGGCATACATTAAGAAAGGTGAAATCTGATAGGCGGTAAAGGAAGCCTTTTATTTGATAGAGTTTGTTAATCCCAGAATGGTCTAGGAAGGGGTTAAAAATTTCTAGGGGGGAATTAGATTGGGGGGGGGGATCAGAGCGTTGCTCTCACAAAACGTTAAAACTGACCCCCCCCCCCCCCCACTAGAAAATGCTTATATACGCCTCTGTATAATTATGTATTATTATAAAAAACAATCGTTCATACTTTTTTTCCCATCATTTTATAATTGATCCACAACGGATTCTATTAAATTTCAAAAAATTTCCGTTTGTTGGTATCCAGCAAAAGGTTTTTAAGTAGCTTGGACATCAACTAATGAAGTTAAATTCAAAGTGCACATTTTACAATTGTTGTGTTTCATTATTACTATATTTGATCAAAGTCGTCTTCCTATTCCACAGGTGTATGCATGGGTCTCGCTGGGTCTCGTTTCCATCCCCCCCCCGCCCCCACACAAAGTAGAAAGTAATGGGTTGATTATTTATAAGAGCAATTATTACAAAAAAGTTTCAAATTTTTTTTTTGCAGAAAATCCGGGAACCAATGAATCTTTACATCCCCGTACTTTAATATTAGGTTAGTTTAACATTATTTCACGATGATTGATTTATAGCACCTCTACATATAATGAAATTTACTATAACTATTATAGATCTTATTTCGTACAAAAAGGTAAAATGGAACAATTTTATGATAAAAAAGTATATGTAGATTTATAATTATAGTTTTTAGTCGGCACATGATAAGTTGATCACGGTTAAGATATCTCAATATCCACAAAATGGTTTGGACAATATATACTATTGTGAACCAAACAAAAGGATATAGGCTCGAAATGGAGATAAATAGGAGCTAAAGCAATGCAACTCGAAGCAGGAGGTAGGAGAATAAAAGTAAGAACGGGATATATATTCTCCAAGGTAAAGGCGCTTCTCAAGAATTACAAACTCTAGGCGGAGTCCCACACATATACGTAGACGATAACTTCTGGTGAAAATATATTTCAGGAACGAGGTTTCCTACAAAATACAGATTGTTATTGACGAACAAATGTGAATAATAATTGTTAATAAAATGTAACTATTTGATTGACGAACAAATGTGAATAATAATTGTTAATAAAATGTAACTATTTGATTGACGAACAAATGTGAATAAAATGTAACTATTTGATTACAACTAATTAAATGTTTATTGAAACTGATAAATAGGAATTTTAAAGGAAAGGTTCTGTTGTGAATCGACCAAGAAATATTTTAAGGTACTGATGGGAATTAATAAATGAAATATTTTAAATGGGTACTATTGTGAATCAAACATGAACTTACGATCTATTGTCGTATAGTACGGGAATAGTGGTTGGAATCGGAGTCTAAACTATTCAATTTCTGAAAAAAAATATTCATTTGGTAAAAATTAATTCACTATTAGTTTGCAAAATGATTCACTGAATTTTAAGCGTAAATTGTTTCTATTTTTTTACGAATTTAAATCTTATTGTTGCACGAGGATTTTGTTTACGTTTATGCAGAAACCTTGAACAGTATTTGGTTTGGAGAAGAAAGTGGACGGAGGTCTGACGGAGATGTAGTTTGTCAAAGACGACTTTTACAACAGGGTAGTTTATGGGATATGGTTCACAACTATATATAATTTCATAAAACCAGTTTTGTAACCTAAACAAATAGTCGATCCACCTTTTCGTCTGAATCAAAAAAAATCGTCCAAAAGGGAATACTAAAACCAACATTCTTATTTTCAAATTTTATTTTTTTTATTATTTTTTTATTTTCCCATGAGATAATTAATAATACTGGAGGGTAGGTTGTCCAAATACTTTTGTTCTTCCGGCTCCTTTCCTCTGAATCAAATTAATATTCATTAGAACTTTTACAAATATTTAAAATATAAACATTAAATTTGTTATCTAACGGACAAGTTTGTTATTTGGGTTTTCTAACAGATAAAAAAAGATTTTTTATCTAACAGAAAGTTCGGTTATTAAACAATAAATTCTGTTATCCAAAGAAAAATTCTGTTATCTAATGGAAAAATCTGTTATCTTACTAACAATTCTGGTTATCTAATGGAAAGTTTTGTTAACAAATAGACAATTATTTTAACTAAAGAAAAGCAAAATATGTTTTTAATTTGTAAAAGAAAACTGAAATAACAATTAAAATATCTATAAAGGAACTGAGGTTTTGCCACAAATTCTGATTTTCTAATCCCTGTATTTTTGCAAACTGATGGCATAAACCTTAAATATTATAAACTATCATTACACGATCTAAAACAATTCACAGTTTGAAAAATCAAAGGTCTCCGACATTGAATTGCAAAGATATTGGGATTAGAAAATCCGGGTTTGTGGCAAAAACTCATTTTCTTTCCTACATCGATCATGTTGAAATGCCAAAATGGTTTTGTGGCAAAGATAGTTGGATTAAAAAATTAACACTATGTTCAAGTAGAATTTTTTGTAAAATTTGTAAAACTTGTAAATTATTCTGCCATCTAAAAGAAAAAATTTGGAATTAGTTAATCCAATTTAGTCCATTCTTTTGTAAAAACATGGAACCGTAGATTTTTCAATTGATTTATTGAAACATCATTGATAAAACGAAATAAGGTTTAACATACTTTTTTTCAGAGAGACCCCGAATAATATATAATATATTGTAACATACCTTTGTCCAATATCTAGTTTGAAGTTGTTCTCAACAATCCATTCAGATATTGATGTAACCTTCGTAAAGTGACAAGTTAAAGGGACTGTAAACGAAATTTCAAGCATTCACTCTTCATTAAAAGAGTGCATAACGATAAGCTTTTAGCCTTTTTCTCAGTATTTTAAAACAAATATTGCAATTGTTTTATCTAGAAAAGTGTTTAATTCGGGGGTTTAATTTTAAAAAATTTTTTTGAAAAATTTTGCAAACATTTTCAAAAATGTTTAAATTATCATATTTTATGCACCTTTTGTTTTCGCACATTTTTTCTTAAAAACTTGATAATTCAATAAATATTTGAAATTTTGCAAATTTGCATTTTTTAGCAAATGTTTCAAATGTTATAGATTTACATCACAATAAGGAAAATGAGGGGGGGGGGGGTTCTAGATAGCTAGAAAGATAGATGTTGCCGCCATTCTTTTTCCATTGGTTCAGAATAGACACTAAACACATGACTGAACCCTGATTGGATCAGGGGCGAAAGCATGGAATCGGCATACAAATGCGTGGGACCCCCCCCCTCGATTAATTTGGGTAAACCAGCCTGAGAAGGGTTCAAATCATGAATCAAAAGGTTTCAACATCTTAATAATTGAGAGAACATTTTTTTCAAATTCTATTAAATTTTGAGAAACCCTCAAAATTCATGAATAAAAATAAAATAATTAAATTCCTTTCATTGAAAACTACTAGTGCTTCAAATACATCTTCAGTTATTTTACTTAGTTTTTTATTTCATTTTTAGTAGTTATTACCTGTAAAAAGTAAAGGAATTATGGATCTTTTAACAGGGATTACAATAATAATGATAAAAAAAGATGAAACAACAAAATTTTTCCTCCTTTTTCATCTGTTACTAAAAGCGGTATGTAAATAAATTTTGTTCTCACTAGGTTTGGATATAAACGTAATTTTTTTCGTAAGTTTGTAAATTCATGTATTCTTTTCAGGAAGTTTGTAGTTTACTGCATTTTTGCGGTAACTTTGTAAGTAACTGTATTTTTTTAGTAATTTAGTAAATTTTGTTAGGTTTGTAATTTAATGTCTTTTTTTTCGGTAAGTTTGTAAATTAATGTATTTTTCAGTAAATTTGTAAAGTATAATTCAGTAAATTTGTGAAGTTTAATTTACCTCTTTTATAGATAATTTTGTCCAGTAATCTAGGTCTCTTAGATATTTTAACTTAAAGACACCATTTTTTTATTCAGTAAAACTAATTGTGCATATTTAGCGTAATTTAGCATGATTATCATAATTATTATTATTATTATTATTATTATTATTATTATTATTATTATTATTATTATTATTATTCGTGTTCCTTTGTACAGGTATAAAGAAGAGACCAGATTGACCGGTAAGTCAGTGTTTCATTTCCAGGTATTGATAAGCTCTAGATACAATACAGTGAGAACCAGAAAACTGTGGAAACGGAAGACGACATTAAAGCAATACCTAATGACAGTTGATGTTGTTATAAACTAAATAGTTTTACTAGTAACTTATTGGTTACTAAAGCGCTTTTAAGCGAAATGTTTACAACACACAATTGTAGTAACTTATGTTCGTAACTTTTGTTTAAAAGTAATTGTCCTAGTTTTCTGGTTCTCACTGTTTATAGTTTAATTTGACAATAAAAATTATAGAAATGACTGTGTGAGAATAAAATACCTTAATTATTCATAATTTAAAATGTGATTTTTTTATATTAAACTGACTGGCGATATATTTCAAATGTCCTTTATTTTGAAAAATTGCTTTCCTGTTGCACCCTGTACCCTGTTCACCTTTGAAAAGTTAAAGGTAGTCACGGCAAAAAAAAGCCCGTCAAGACATTTGTTGGAAAATGTACGCCAGATTCTGACGTGTGTATTTAGCTTCATCAACTGCACTGATCATTGTTATTATTAGGTGCAGTACGTAGAAAAGGGATATGAAAATAAACCAAAATATCTGGGGGTGGGTGGGGGTGATTTTAATCATGGTCTATTTGGGTTATTCAAAGCATTCTGAAAAAAAACCAGTTCAAGTTATTATCGATTTTGAGTTGGCCACCAGGAATGCTCTGCGAAAGGTTTATCCAGGGGTAAAAGTGACAGGATGCCTCTACCATTTCCAAACCAACCTTTTCAAAAACATTATGAAGAAATATTCTAGTTACAGACAAAATGGGCACACCCAAAACACATTTGAGCTAGTGAAAACGTTGGTGTTTGTCCCACCTGGATTTGTACTAGATGTTTATACCGATATTATCAAGGAATATGCCAAAATAACGTTTTAAACGAAATGTCGTCCTTCTTCACATATTTTAAGGCTACATATATAGGGAAAAAAAAGCCAGAAATGGAAGAGTTAAACGGCCTGTATTTCCCATTGATATGTGGTGTATGTTTCACGTAGTTAACAAACACACACCAGCACAACTAACAACAGTCTTGAGGCCTTTAATGGCAATTTTAATCAATGCCAACCAGGCGCTCAAACGATTTAAAAGAGAAGTGGAATTCACCGAAATAAAGCATGGTGAACTAACTTCAGGAGAGTTCTCTCAACCACAATCCAAGAGAAAAAAAACTGAAGGATGAGAAATATGTTAAAGAATGAAAGAAAAAAGAAAGATAGGAAGGACCAAAGGGAGAATAGGAAGGAAATTAAAGAAAAAAGGGGAGGAAGGAAGAGAGATTAGAAGAAAGAAATGAAAGAGAAAATGAAAGAGTAAATGAAAGGAAAGATAGTAAAAATGGAAGAACGAAAAAAAGGAAGAGGAAGAAAGAAGAGAAAGCAAGGAAAGATGGAAAGAAGAAATAAGAGAAAGATTGGAAGAAAGAGAAAGAATGGAAGAAAGGAAAAACGGAAAAAAGAAGAAAAGAAAGGAAGAGAGAAATTTTATTTTTAAGAAGCACTGTATATTTTTTATCAAGCTGTCTTCATTTATTTTGAATATATATATTATTTTGAAGAGTACTGTATATTTATTATATGAAATTTATGATGATTTTCATTAATATTCAGTGCTCTCTAAAATAAAGTGGAAAATAAAGACGACTTTTATTAAATAAACAGTTCTTCCCAAAATTGAATGGTAAACATTGATGGCTTTTCTTAAATATACACTAATGTTGAAGTGAAGACGACCTTTTCTAATGTGCAATCTTTTTTCAAGAAGCACTATATGTTTATGAAAAGTCGTCTTCATTTACCAATTTATCATGAAAGATTAAGTTGAAGAAAAGGTTACAATTCTTTTTATAACCCAAATAGACCATGATTAAAATCACCCCACCCACCCCCAGATATTTTGGTTTATTTTCATATCCCTTTTCCACGTACTGCACCTAATAACAATGATCAGTGCAGTTGATGAAGCTAAATACACACGTCAGAATCTGGCGTACATTTTCCAACAAATGTCCTGACGGGAAAAAAAGGGTTTTTATCCGAAAATTAATTACTTTCAAATGTGGTTCTCTAAATAAGCGACTTGTTAATTAAGGCAACAAAGACAACAAAAGAATGGAGAGAATTGAAACATTTTCAATACAGTAAACGACGATATCTCACATCGTATTGACGCGTATTTTTGTGCGCGAATTGGGCTTGTAGAACGCATAAAAATAAAGGTCACTTGAAATTAGATCGAGAGTCCCGTTAAAGGGACTGCAAGCGTATTTTTAAGATGCAAAGATGACAATGCCATATTTACATCCTACCCATGAAACCATAATCTGATAAGAATGTGGAAGATACCGTCGGTTTACTGACTCAATAAGAGTTTATTTCTGTGAGTTACTCCGTTGTTTCTTATTAAGAAGGCATGCGCAAGTCACTTTCGCAGATAACCCGCAAATGAAAATAGACATGTAAAAGAAAAAAACATTGATATCCAATACATACTTAATCAACAAAAGGTTTCAAGGCTACTGTTGTAAATTGGGCATTGCCAGCTTAGCATGGAGGGTCACTTACAGTCCCTTTAATAATATGTCTTTTTAACCTGGAGATGACGAAGGCTATTTTGTTGAAGTAGTTTGTTGATTGTTGCATCTGATATTTTGCAATGGATTCCAGTTTTTACTGCAAGAGAGGAGATATGTAGATATCAGTAAAACTAAAGTGTTCGTTCTAGTATACAATTTCACAGATATTNGGGGGTCCAAAAATCGTATTCTAGGAAATTAACAAAATTATAATGTCTATCACTTAAATTCAGTTAAGTCTGTTTACCTTTCACATTTGCTGTGCGAGTGTCTTATGTTCATGGACTAAGTTTCTGTTATAGCTTTAAAATGACTATCCTTGTAATTACAAGTAACTCTTCGTTAAAACAGAGCCATGTCTGATTTACAACGGTATCATTTAAACCTTTATTTGATTAATATTGTTTTTAAGGAGATAAACATGGATATTTCATTAATTTTTGAGCAGACAAAGCATTTAGGGTATTTCTGTGAATCAGACTTACGGAAAGTGTTTTAACAATTTTTACTATAAACTTTTTTTTCATCATGAGTTTAATTGGAATAGGTTTATAGTTGACGAGAATTTAATAGAAAATCCGTTGAGGCAAATTCTTGAAAAGTAATCTATATATGAAAAAATGTGTTTTAAAGGTTTTAAATTTTGTAAAAAAATTTAAATTCTTGAAAATCCGCGAATTAAAAAAAATTTTCTTCTTTGTTTTAAAATGTAAACAAAAAGAACATGTTCACAATTTAAATAGAAAATGGTCGCGAAGCTCCCTTAAAGCCTAGTTAATTAGATTTTAGAAGGCTACAGTAATCTCTATGAAATACTGTGAATTTTCCTTTTTCTTCATTCTTTTGCACAAAAAGATCAAATTCCAACAAAATAATTGATTGTAATTTTGAAAACAAATCAGCAACTTAATATTTTTAAAGCGTAATAAATAAAAATTTATATTTAAATTTTAGAAATACTCTAGATAAAACTCTTTAAAGTTTCATGCTAATGTTGCGTGGTGCAAGGAATTAAATTTTGTAATGCTTGTATCCATTAGGTTAAAAAGTCCTTTAATACAGTTTGCATGGTATGATTATGAAAACCCAAAAATAAAAAAAATCGTCTAAATCACTTATTTCACACTGGTTTAAACCTATGGATATTAGTTTCAAAGTAAACGGGAAACACACATAGAGCTGGTTGAAGTTTAAAGCTTTGAACTAAACTAATTTATGATAAACAAATACCGCACTGCAATTTACTTTAAACTCAATTCAGAATATCTACTAAGGGTAGAGAGAAAAGGGTTCGTGGATACAAATTTCAAAATTAAAATTTGACTGCTGAGATTTAGGATTAAATCCCTGTATTTTCTGATTCTGTCTAATGTAGTTACAATCAAATTAGAGTGTATGCATTCCCACCAAGGAGTATGAAATAGAAGGGAGATACAACTGACGCGGCCCGCTGACATGCTTTGCAGACGGTAATTCATTTGAATAAGAAATATTTGTCTGATGTACAATTACCGCGTATACAATAACCTATTATAAATATTTCTTATACAAATGGAGTACAATTGGAGTCTGCAAAGCATGCATAATCATATGAAAGGGCGGGCCACGTCAGTTGTATCTCCCTTCTATTTCATACTCCTTGATTCCCACCAGTGCTATGTCCAGACCCTATCACAGATCTGAGTTGAGAGGAGTTGGTGCTGATCAAGGATGGAATGCAAGGAAAAATAATTGCAGCTGCATATACTCTGCGGACATACTGAAACCAGTTCTCTCTGGGCTGAATTTGTAAACAATAATTAATGCAATATTGTTCTTTTAGTATCCGAGGGGGTTTAAAGCATTAAATTCTGATAATTTTGATAATTCAAATAAAGTTTTCTATGACCAGAATATTTCATTGATTTTTTTGTGAAAGATGGATCCCATGTCAGGCTTCGACATCCGTCTTGTGTTTACATTACCGCCCAGAGACAGTACACTGCAGTACAAAAGATGCGTACATCTCCTTGCATTACAACCTTGGTGCTGATTAGCAGTGTCGAGATTATGTAACATCCTTTAAGGTTGAAAATTCTACCTTCTTCTACGTTTAATGTTGAGGAGAGGAGAAGAAGAAAAATAGATTCAGGACATTGGCTAACAATATGCAGTACGCTTATCTAAACATAAACAAACAATATGCAGTACGCTTATCTAAACATAAACAAACAATATGCAGTACGCTTATCTAAACATAAACAAACAATATGCAGTACGCTTATCTAAACATAAACAAACAATATGCAGTACGCTTATCTAAACATAAACAAACAATATGCAGTACGCTTATCTAAACATAAACAAACATTAGCTTATCTAAACATAAACAAACAATATGCAGTACGCTTATCTAAACATAAACAAACATTATGTAGTAAGCATACCTAAACATAAGCAAACAATATGCAGTAAGCATACCTAAACATAAACAAACAATATGCAGTACGCTTACTTAAACATAAACAAACAATTTGCAGTACGCTTACTTACACATAAAAAAACATTTTGCAGTAAGTTTAGATAAATATAAATAAACAATATGCAGAACGTTATGGAATAAACGGTATTACCACAAAACAACAACACATACATAACTTTTTCATCATTGATATATATATATTTATATATATATGATTTTAAAAATCGAATACCTCTAATAATGGTTCCATTTGAGGCTCTTTGTACCCAAATTCTCTAAATCCCCCTGTATTCCTAGATCCAAGAAATATACAGATGTCACAAAATAATAATCAAATAAGTAGGAAAATGTCCTAATTTTAACCAGTGAATACGTCCAAAAGAAACAAAAGTCATAGAATTTTGTCCTAAAAAGGAGGAGACAATTCTGAACTTGTTATACAAACATCAATTAACCTCGATGATACAAATAGTGGACTGCTACTTAACATCTAACAAAAAAAACCTTGAACTCTTGACTACACTATACAGATACAAAACATCTAACAAAAAACCTTGAATTATTGACTATATAGCTACAAAACATCTAACAAAAAACCTTGAGTTCTTGACTATATAGCTACAAAACATCTAACAAAAAAACCTCGAGTTCTTGACTGTACAGCTACAAGCCATCTAACAAAACACCTTGAATTCTTCACTATACAGCTACAAAGCATGTAACAAAAAACCTTGAGTTCTTGGCTATGCAGCTACAAAACATCTAACAAAAAAACCTTGAGTTCTTGACTAAGCAACTACAAAACATCTAACAAAAAACCTTGAGTTCTTGACTAAGCAACTACAAAACATCTAACAAAAAACCTTGAGTTCTTGACTAAGCAACTACAAAACATCTAACAAAAAACCTTGAGTTCTTGACTAAGCAACTACAAAACATCTAACAAAAAAAAACCTTGAACTCTTGACTATACAGCTACAAAACATCTTACAAAAAACCTTGAATTCTTGACTATACAGCTACTTAACATTTCAAAAAAAACTTTGAATTCTTGACTGTACAACTACAAACATCTAACAAAACACCTTGAATTCTTTACTGTACTAACTACAAAATCTAAACAGTTAAAAATTATACATTATGTTGGGTTAATTAAGACTGAAGTTTAAGAAATGTAAATTTTAGTAAATGTAATTATAGGTGTAATTATAGAAAGACCCGGCATTAATTAGACAACTTTACAATCTAGTTTTTTAAAATATGGTTTAAAAATATTCCAAGTCCTGCCAATTCCAATAGGTGGTCTGCCTTTAGTGTGCGTTTGAAATTACCTGTAAACTATAAACTGTAAATTAATTCTGGGTCTTTCTTGTTATGTCTCTAGGAAAAATTATAATTTGAACATTTTGTATCAGTCGACTGTATCACGGGCAAACTTATATTAATCGGTTTGGTATGCAATGTTTTAATTATTAACGTTTTAATAATGGACATTTATACGTGGATAAACTCTTTGCAACAGCAAATTTTGCATAATGGCTTTAGTGTCCGAGTTTAAACGGATCCATATATTTTTTACCTGGGTCCAAACGGATCAACGTCTTCTCCTTCATGGTCATCCTGAAAAAGTTTGTTTTTAAACCTTTTTAGATACTGTTCAATAACATGTTTTAAAACCTGTTTTTAACCTGTTCTTGAACCTGTTTTTAAAACTATTTTTAAAGTTTGATTTAAGCCTGTTTAAAAACCTTTCTCAAACTCAGTTTTCAAACCTATCAAAAACAAGTCATTAAAGATATTTCAAACTAAACTTTTGACTTCTCACCCAATTCTCTCTTAATTCTTGAGAAAAGTTGAACTGAATTAATAATATTTTGCTCAGATTTTTACCCCAGCAAAAACTCGAGTATTTTACCATATTTGTCTGCATGATTAAGCCAGTTGCAGCTCAGTCCCTCTTTTAAGCCCGGAGGTGTTGGGGTGAACTAATATTTTTTGATTATTTTAAATATTACTGTGTTTAACACCTGATGCATATCTTCTTGAAGCTCACAATTGTATAAACCAAGAGTTTGAAGATTCGGACAGACTCTAAAATTAATAATATGTCAGACAAAATCCTTTATAGGATGAACCAAAAGTATTCTGTCAAGGTTGAGCAGAAAGTATCTTGTCTAGGTTGAACCGAAAGTAACATGTCCATAGTGAACCATAAGTATTACAAAATACGATCATAAAAACTGAAATAGCTTCTGAACTAATCAGTTCTTAATCTAAAAATTTTTGATAGTGTATTCTTAACATATTAAGAAACTTTATCTATGAATTTAAGGAAGATCATGTGATACAGATTTATTCTTATTTTAGCGAGCTATTTATCTCTGCTGGTTGGGCAGAAATCACTGATACGATCATAAAAACTGAAATAGCTTCTGAACCAATCGGTTCTTACTCTCAAAGTTTTGATAGTGTATTCTTAACATATTAAGAAACTTTATCTATGAATTTAAGGAAGATCATGTGATACAGATTTATTCTTATTTTAGCGAGCTATTTATCTCTGCTGGTTGGGCAGAAATCACTGATACGATCATAAAAACTGAAATAGCTTCTGAACCAATCGGTTCTTACTCTCAAAGTTTTGATAGTGTATTCTTAACATATTAAGAAACTTTATCTATGAATTTAAGGAAGATCATGTGATACAGATTTATTCTTATTTTAGCGAGCTATTTATCTCTGCTGGTTGGGCAGAAATCACTGAAAACCGGTGAGTCACATAACCGTGCATATCTTCTGAACCGATAATTTCTCAAGCATGGGATTTTTACAGTATTTCTCAACATATAAAAGAGTGTTTTGTGTGAACTTAACAAAAAAACAAAGTATACTATGTCTCTTTTTTAGGAACAAGTTTTTATTTCAAAATATCAAATGTTCAAATTAATTTTATCGATTATTTTATGAAAAAAAAACAAATAAATATTCATTACATATTTAATGTTTAAATGAGGCCGATATCTCAAATAGCAAAAAAGTCATGGTAAATTGAAAAGAGCAAACTCTTTGCAGAGGTCAAAATTTTATTGACCTGTGCTCCGCACCCGGAGGTCAACAGAGTCTTAAAATTTCTATTTATATAATGTCTGACATAGGTCTTTCCATATTTAAGTTTGACAAAACTGGAAGATGGTGCCTACTCGGGGGTTGCTGATTTCATATGGATTGACCCAGACTTCTTGGTTCTTGGTATTCTTTTTTAATTTAAAATGCATATGCCTACAATAAAATAGAATACAAAAAAATGTGAAAAAATCATGTTAAATAGGTCAAAGTGGGATTGAAAGTCTGCAGCTTATTGGGATAGGAACCAAACTGCAGTTAAATTTGCGTTTATCTATTATTTCACACTGATTTATAAATATATATATATATATATAAATATAAGAATTGAAAAAAAAAGTTTTATACATGGACATCAAAGTTATATTTGTTCCAAGATATAAAAATTATAAACCTAAATATCACATACCTGGATATCAAAATGATCGCTGATTTATCCATATTCTCAGTATGAATGAGGTAAAGTATAATCAACTGTGGTCCTATCTAAAAAAATAATTATTACATTTTTTCCTTAAAGTTTTTAAAAAAGCTTCTTTGGTTAATCTTCGATTTTATAAAAATTTACTATATTTTTTAATTTAAATTTATTTCTGATATTTGCAAAAAAAAATCCCGATACAATATGAAGTTACAGAAATAGATTTTAAGAAAATTTATTTTTTTGTTATTGTATAACTTAATTAATTCAACATATATTTCGGTTTATTTCAAAATTTTCCGCATAGAAATACTAAAAGTTACGTAAATAAGATTTTAAGAAAATAAATTTTTTTGTTGCTGTTGAAAACTAAATAATATCAACAAAATGTTAAGTTTCATTTCAACACTCATTCATATAGAACATTTTGCTAATAATATAAAAAAAATTCATTTCAACATTTTATGAAATTCATATAGAACATTACATCTATCTATATACTTTGCTTTTCTGTTGTCTGTGTGTCCGTTTTTATCCAATAAACGTCAAAATGACTGAACCGATTGAGCCCAATATTTTTAAGTCAACTAACATGACCCCAGAAAAAAAAAAATGTCGAAATATTTTTTTATAAATTCACAAATTTAAACAAAGAAATAAGCGAAAATTTGAAATCGATCTGAAATGGAGACTTCAAAAGTGTCATAAAATCCTTGTAAATAAGATTTTGAGAAAATATAAACTTAGTTTTGTTGTGTTGAATGAATGAACACCTGTTCTAGAAGCTGATTTAATCCATCCTCATAGAAGTCTCCTCCCCACAAATGTAAATCTTTTGTTGACATTTTATTTCAGCAAAAGTTGAAATCCATAATATAAGGAAGCAGATTACACAATTTCGCAAAATAAATTTTGCACATTTTTTGAACATTTTAGTTTTTTCTTATTACACATCAGGTTTTAAATTTTGCACAAATCTATGAAATTGTAAGTATTACGTAAGTAAGTAATTATTCATTTATGATAAATTACAAAAACATACAAAATTAAGTTATTAATGAAAAATAGAGGTTGTGGGAATTTTATTGCATGGAAAAAATGTATAATTGATTTTTTGGACCTTTTTTAAAGCATTTTTACTATCTGCAGATTTGCAAAAAAAATTTAATTATTGCACATTTGCAACAAAAAATTCGGATTCTTAAATGCGTATCATTTGTTATATTCGGACATCAAACATGGGATTTAGAGGAGGACAAGTTGACCCCCCCCCCCCCGGCGTTTACCAATTTTGAAGCCTAGCAAGGATAGGGTTAAGAAAGCTACGGTGTATTTGAGGTTGTGTTAAAGTAAATTATGTGTTTACCATTTATCCTGTCATAGATTTGGCCAAAAAAGAAATACAAACAAATATATTGTAAAGATTAAATATTTTCAATGGTTTTTGCTTTTTTATCTGTAACATTTATGTTAAAATGATAATTCCAAAAATTAGTAATGTGTGGGGTTCTATTTGTAAAACACGGTTTTAAATTTTTCACAATTAAAGAGAGTGTTCTTGGAAAAAAAACTTAAGATTTAAATGCAAAATTCCAGCGACGGGGCCGGTTTGGACTAACTTGCTCTGAACGACAAATTTTTTTTTACAATTCTAAAACCACAGATAAAAAAAGATTGTTACATTAGATATTGAATTCAAATTGGGTTTGACCTATACTCCCTTTCATTTTTTACCAACAAGCCTTTTTCAGAAAATGTGTGTTAATACACAGAAAGAAAAATAATTTTATAATTAATTTAGATTTTTTAAAAAATTATTATAAAATAGACCAGGAAAATAAAAAATTATTATAAAATAGACCAGGAAAATAAAAAATGCCATTCCTGAAAGATATTTGAAATCAGCCAAGAAAAGAACATTTTGCATCACTTCTTTGCTGGAAAATATTTATCAACATAAAACATAAAAAAATATAAATGATAAAATAATTGTTTAATCTAAAACAAAAAAGTATAAATATTTCTATTAATGTATTTAACACCTTAGAACATCTTTATCAGTTTAAAACAAAAAAAGATATAAATAATAAAATAGTCTAATAAATGAAGAACAATGAAAATAAAAATGAAATGATAAGTTACCTGAACTGGAACATTATTTTTCTGAGGAGTGGACAGTACTGAAAACATAACTTGACTTATTTAAAAAAAAAAATTTAAATAATTTTTAAGATAATCATTTTAACAGACCCTATATTAACATGAATATCTTAAAAATGATTTTGTTACCTTTACCACAAACTCTGGTTGTTAAATTGCTTTCTCTTTACAACCTATGACTTCTGTTATATCAAATAATCTTGATTTGAAATATCAAAGGTTTACATCATCTGGTTGTAAAGATATAGGTATTAGAAAATTGGTATTAGGGGCAAAGACTCAATTCCTTTAGTTTTCAGTGTAAATTTGCCTCCTAAAGAAAAACAAGCAACAAAATGGCCATTTACTTGTTTTGTAAAAAGAAAGTGATTTACTCCTAAACAGTGAGACTCAAAAAATATGAAAGATGTTTATAGATTTTGCAGTGGGTGTCCTAATAAACATGGGAATGTTAATAGATTTTGCAGTGGGTGTCCTAATAAACATGGGAATGTTAATAGATTGTGCAGTGTGTGTCCTAATAAACATGGGAATGTTTATAGATTGTGCAGTGGGTGTCCTAATAAACATGGGAATGTTTCCAGTGGGTGTCCTAATAAACATGGGAATGTTTATAGATTTTGAAGTGGGTGTCCTAATAAACATGGGAATGTTTATAGATTGTGCAGTGGGTGTCCTAATAAACATGGGAATATTTATAGATTTTGCAGTGGGTGTCCTAATAAACATGGAAATGTTTATACATTTTGCAGTGGGTGTCCTAATAAACATGAGAATATTTAAAGATTTTGCAATGAGTGTCCTAATAAACATGGGAATATTTATAGATTTTGCAGTGGGTGTCCTAATAAACATGGGAATGTTTATAGATTGTGCAGTGTGTGTCCTAATAAACATGGGAATGTTTATAGATTGTGTAGTGGGTGTCATAATAAACATGGGAATGAAATGACGACATTAAAATTGACTCCATGATTCTCAGGACTAGACTTTTCAAAATACAATAACAATAGACCTCTTACAATATTTGGAAAGCCATCATGCGTGGTGCATGCATTCAGAGGAAGGGTTCAACAATGATCTTGCCCCCCCCCCCCGTCCTGGCTGAATTCTTGAACACTCGCCTTTATTCTCACTAACTTTTTTTTCAAGATTTTATGACGATTTAAATGAAACACCTTTTACCTTTTGCACCAGCTGCATTTGATACAGATCATGAAAATAATATTCTTCTGAACTCCAGAACTCTTCAAGTCTTAATTCTACTTTCTTTATTCTCTTATCCTTCATAGAAATTGCGAGCTTTCTTTTAGGTAATTTAAGTTATTTTAGGGGTTTAACAAATATATATAGAGTGATCTAGCTAGAGTAAATTGAGTTATTTGACACTAACAACCATCTTTGATTCGTACAAAAGGTTTAGTATTGATAACAAATTACAAGAATTAGGGGTTTGTTTACAGTGAAAACCAAAAACAATGGATTAAAAGACGACATTTTAGCAATGCTTAAGTGTATTTGATGATGTTACAAAGCAAATAGTTTAACTAAAAACTTAAATCACTAATTCAGTGAATGGGTCTGTTTACACTACACTATTATTGCTATGTTTCATACTCGATGGTATTTTTAAATTTATAACTTGATTCTTAAAGTCGTCTTCTTAGTTCAGAATTTTCTGGCTATCACTGTATATTGTTTACAAAAATAAAGTATTTTGCAATTTGTTGAAAAAAATTAATATTTCAGTTTTTTGAAATATATTTGATTAGTTTTTGCTGACTTCAGATTTTCTTATGATTCCTTATCAATTAACTCCAGAGTTTCACACAAAAAATCTCCTCTAACTTCAAAACAAAATTAAATAAAAAAATAAAAACAACCTTTTACGAAGTGTACTGCAATTACGAAAAGAAAAGAACCCTGCAGTACATTATTGAAACTGAATAGTTTTATAAATATTTCTGTTAAATAAATTGATATTAATTCCTGTTATAAATCGTTCTAGTTCTAATGATTTTAGAAATTATTAGCGAGCACTGCATATAAAAGGACTGTGAGCGTAACTTCATGTGTCCCATCATGTTATCAGAATTTAAAACTTTTGGTTCTAGAAGAAACAAAGGTATCTTCCACACCATTGATCAGATAAAGGCAGGGAGGAGCAAAGCTCCGTAACAAAACGGAGGTTTTCGACAATAGACAGAAGAGTCCGTTAACAAACGACAAAAACCGTCAATTCTTAAATTGTTTTCGAAGCGGATTAGCCGTTTTTTGAAAAAAAAATTACAGTTGAAAACAAAACGAAATGGAGTTCGCGCCGTTAACGTCTTTAATTTTGAAATAACAGTTGACCATGTACCGTTAACGCCGTTAATCAAATTAAGATCGTTAACTAAAAAAATCAATGGCAAAATACCGTTAACGAAACAAACTTTCTTTTTTCATCTAAAAATAACGGCTAACTGAGATTTTATATTTAAAACGGTAGGAACTAACTGTTAACGAAACGGTTTGAAAAAATGGAACATGCCAAACCCTAGAAAAGGTATCAAAGGTTCCGTTGTGAATCGGGCATTGTAATCTTTACATGGAGAGTCACTTAAAGAAAAAACCACTTCTAATCCATTATATGTTCATGTTAGGAGAATGAAAAACATATGTCTAAGTACCTACCCAGTATCTTGAGATTTTTTAAGGAAAGAACCAAGTTCATATGCCCTAGAATTTAAAAAAGATAAAAATATAGAATTATTTTCAAAGGAAAACAAGGAATCCTTTCGATAAGAGATCTTAGCTTTTGTGTGGATATTACTTATCTTGAACATTTGATCTCAATATCCAATGTAAATTTGTAATTGTAAATTGTAAATTTCAATGATTGATTTCTTAACTAAAATTATCCCTGTAGGGTATACATATATATATATATATATATATATATATATATATATCCCTATAGGGTGTGTTGACAATCACATGAGTTCAATGCTTGATCATAAGATTCACAACACTTAACTGATAACATCATGTTTCATAAATAATTAAATAAAATTATTTTTGGAACCAACCTTGCGAATTTATTCCTGTATGAAAAAGGTGAAGTTTTTCAATCTTGTTGCAGCTACTTAAATATTCAGCGCCTAAATATAGTCTGTACATTTTCAATCTTGTTGCAGCTACTTAAATATTCAGCGCCTAAATATAGTCTGTACATTTTCAGTAATTCTTATTTTCCTTAAGAGTAGTTGAGCTTCAAATAAAACTTTGATTTGGTGAATAACTAGAAATTATATGCCAGGAGTGTCAAAAAAGTAATTTTAGTTTTTTTTTATTGAGGGTCAAAAAAAGAGTTTTTAAGGTCGCCTTTTAATTTTTTAAATGCTGTTTTTTTATGTACCATATCTAATAAAACCGATTTTTTATATTATAAAGATATATGTTGCTATTGCGAATATTTTTGCATCTTAAAAATGTGTTCATTTGGCGTTATTTAGCCTACCTTTTCACTGTTCAATGTATACAATAACCTATTCTAAATACATGTACGTGGTATCTGTACACCAGACAAATATCTATTATTCAAACGGAGTACCGCCTGAAAAGCATGTATAATCATATGGTAGTGCGGGCCTTGTCGTTTCCAGCTCCCTTATATTTCATACTCTTTGTCCAAACTCCATGAACAGTATTATTCGGCCAATAAATAGTAAAAAGGAGGCAGCACAGAATACCGTTGAGAATACCAGACTGCGTATCTACTTTCACAGGGTGGGCTACGTAGGCCTAAGTTGACCCGGCACGACATGCTACGTTTATACAATAGGTTTTTAGAGTGCCATCTCACGTCCACTTGTTGAACATAATACCCATTCAGGGGTTAAGTTTTACAACTTTAAAGAAATACTCCAATTTGAAACATGAAACATAACATTTATGAATTCAGTCTTTTTTAACATTTTGTGTTTAGTATCCTAAGGATCCTTAAATATCCCTGAATACAGATGTTTGCTGATTGGTCATGTAAAGTACTTGTAACAATAGAACATGCTATGGAAAATATCGCATATTTTAGATGATAATCGATCTCTGTAACTCTCTTATCTCTGCTATAAACAAAGTACATAGAGATGTTCAGAAATTGGAATTAAAGTCGTTGCAAAAGACTTTCTTTTGGATATAAAACAAATATATAATTTTGATGAAATAGCTTTTGAAAAAGTTCTCAACTGCCACTTTTTTGTATTCGAAATCCACTGAACAACAAAATCATGTCAGTGTGTACTTCCTTGGTTTTCTAGGATGTAAGAAGTATACATGATTTATCGAGAATTGTACAACCATCTTTATTGTAAAAATCTTATTATTTAATAAAATTGTGTTAAAATAAAAAATGTTAGGTGTCTTTGCACTAAACCTACCGATTAAGAACAAATACAGTCTAGGAAAGTAATTGGTGGAACAAAAAACCACAGAATTACCACATTCTTATCTCTCAAAATTTCATTTAGAAAATTATGTCCAAAATTTACTTTAAAAAATAAAAAGTTTTAGCCTAAAATTTGTTTACAAAATTTCTTTGATAAATTCTGCTTTAACATTTCTTTGACAATTTTTTTCCAATGATTTCGCAACAGATTAATTGATCTGTGCTTGGAACTTTTAGATAGACATACTGAATTCAACTCGCCGTGTTAGCTCTCTCTTATATTTAGCATCCATGATTTGACCAATGAGAGGTCACAGCGAAGAACTTAGTAAAAAACTCATTTCATGTAAATATGGCTTCGCTGTTTTTAGCCAACAGGCGTCAAATCGGGAACACCGATTTTTTAAGGTCACTCGACTCGACCCAAAATGATCGAAATCTGTGAAAAATTTGTTAAGGTATTTTAAGAAAACATTGTGGAAAATTTATGGTAGAAAAAGGGCGGAAAGAAAAATTCAGACTCTCTTTCGTTTGGATTCTTTTAAACTTGTAGATAATTAAATTTAAAAATCTGTTGTCTGTGCATGACGAGTAAAAAAGTTAGAATCTAATATAAACACATGGGAAGAGAAGTTAAATAAAATAGTTAAAGTTTTCACTGTCTGTTCCAAGGTTTGGAGACATGAAACTCTTGGGAGATTTAAAGTTTCATTAAACAAATTTTAAACTTGATAAAAATAAAATTCAAAGAAACTCTTCACAAAATTCAAGTGACTCCAAGTGGTGACCTGTAATCTCCCGGTTCACAGCAGCATCATTCAGCATTTTGTCCTGTAATTGCCCGATTCACAGCAGTATCATTCAGCATTTTGTCCTGTAATCGCCCGGTTCACAGCAGTATCATTCAGCATTTTGTCCTGTAATCGCCCGATTCACAGCAGTATCATTCAGCCTTTTGTCCTGTAATCGCCCGGTTCACAGCAGTATCATTCAGCATTTTGTCCTGTAATCGCCCGGTTCACAGCTGCAGTATCATTCAGCATTTCGTCCTGTAATCACCCGGTTCACAGCAGTATCATTCAGCATTTCATCCTTTTACTGACAATTATACAAGCTCTCTGAATTTTCTTCCCTTGTCTATGCTGCATAAATCCAAAAAAAATATCAAATTGTGAATTAGACATTTCAAACTAAACAGGAGGTCACTTATATGATGACCGTCCTTATCAGTGCCTTATTTTCCTTTGAAATACGAAATCGATAGATGAACATTTTAAAAATAGTTTTAGGGCAACTTGATTTTTTAAAATTTAAATTCCCGCGCAATTTAAAATGAAGCATGATTTTTTTTCTTTATTTTTACCTTGATTTGTTACCCGTTTACACATTTCCACATCTACAACACTAAAACATTATTATTAAAAACTCAATTATTTAAAAATGTTTTTGTTGAACATTTCTCTAAATCTAAATCTATAAACACTAAATTCAAACCATGCGAATTAAATCGTTTTACTTAAAAAAATGTTTTACTGTCTCAAATCAAACAGTTTCGAAAATGTTATGAGACAAAAAATGGAGGTATTCAGCTTTAGATGTCTATATAATAGTTTGATTAAACGAAATAATTTCTTAATACTTTTCGGCCAACTGAATTGATTTTAAAACCTTTTTTCTTCTCAAAGTTGTTCAGATTTGCTGTCAAATCCAGTTGATGCAGTAACTATTTCATAAAAAATTGTCGACCTCCATTATGATGCATATTCTGAAAAACATATTTTTCTAAATCCCAGATTTGTATTCTTCAATTACGTCTTTATACCAGCTATGGATAGCTTTAAGCGGAAACGGAAAACATACAAAATAATATTTTCCAACTTCTCAAGAAAAATAAAACTAAAAAAATATTTGGTCAATCAGGATTCTCATTCTTCTCCTCGGAACTATTAATTCATGTTTTCGGGCTCTACAGGGTGTCCAAATATTTATTGTAATCTGACAACAGGGTGTATAAAAGTCTATTTTAAATGTACAGGGTGTCCAAATATTTATTGTAACAAAACAGGGTGTTCAAAATCCCATACAGGGAAAAAAAGTTTCTGGAAAAAAAACCTGGAAATAAAAACTTTGGAAAAAAGTCCGAATTTTATCAAGTCCTTGGAAAAAATGTCACTGTAAATAAAGTTCTGTGTTTTGGATTCCTGGGACTTTTTTTCCTAATATGCCAATAAAGTCTCATGAAAAAAGATCTCAGGAAAAAAAATCCTAAAGCTTCCCATTTCACGTTCAAAGTGTGACCAAACCAGGTCTAACTGGAACGGTACCAATGTCCATGGCCATTTGTGTACTAGTACGAAAATAAATCAGAGGAAAAGAAAAACCTAAAATTGTGAATCATGCATTTTCACTTGTTAGAGGACTTTTTTCCGAGGACTTTTTTGTATAAAATCATACTGGAGCCAGAAAAAAAGTCCTTGAAAATAAAGTCTTGAGTTGGGAGACTTTTTAATAAAAGGACTTTTTTCCACAGGACTTTTTTAGTGTGAAATTTTAGGACTTTTTTTCCGAAAAATTTTTTTCCAATGACTTTTTTGGCGGTTACCGATCCAACTTGCTATTTCAACCGTACAGGGTATGCTAATTGTTATTGTAGCCATACAGAGTGTCCAAAATGGTAGTGCAACCTTACGGCCTCCGGGATGATTGAATTGCTGTTGTGATCCTACAGGGTGTTCTTATTGTTATTGAACCATACAGGGTATGCTATGAGAAATTCCCATAGTAACTATATAAGCGCTTGTACACCAACGAGGTTATACTGTACAGAGTGATGAGGTTAGCTAATCCTTTACTTATTGAATAGGCAAAGAGAAAAAAATATATATTAGAGGGGAATTTACTAGAAAAAAGTGTAAAACGGCTATTTTGTTGTACTGTTTCCCTACTGCAGGTGTACTTCACAAATTTATGCTATATAACCTTTTGGGCCCTGGAATATCATTTTAAAGAAAATCTAAAATTAATGTTAAAAGAAAACCCAATTATGAAATAGGCTGGTTTCATAATTGACCAATGATCATTTCACATAGACTCAATGCCTTTCACTTTACAAACGATGATTTTCCGTTACAACTATAAATCAAATGATTGTTTTTATTCACCTAATTCATTATAAAGTTTATTTAACAGCTTAAAAAATTCGAAATTGAAATGAATAGTCTAGGGAACATACTGTACTAATGTACTCTACTGCATATAATTTGTAAACGTTTACATGATTTGTACACTTTGAACTCCCTTTCAGAAAAAAATTCATACCGAGAGACTCTTTAAATTCCCCTCTAATATATATTCTATTTTCTATGTGAATAGGCCATCAACTATACCGAGAGCGTACTGCATATTTGTTTATTATAAGGAGATTCTGGCCTAACCTGAGGGTGTATTGCAAGGAAAGTTAATTGCGGTCGTGTATACTCTGCATACATATTGAAACCAGTTCTCTTTGGGCAGAATTTGTAAACAAGAATAGATGCATCAGTGTTCGTTTAGTATCCGAGGAGGTTAAAAGCATTATATTTGATAATTTTGATAATTCACATAATAGTTTCCTATGACCAGAATATTTCATTGATTTTTTTTATGTGAAAGATGGATCCCATGTCAGGCTGTAACATCCGTCTTGTGTTTACATTACCACCCAGAGACAGTACACTGAAGTACACAAATGCGTACACTTCTGAAATAACTTTCCTTGCATTACATCCTTGGCCTAACCTATAGTATATCAATATTAGAAAACAGTTGTAAGTGTACAGTAAAGCTAACTGAGCACACAGGTAGAGAACTATCATCCCCCTGGTGTACACCATAATATGCGTTTTTCCTAAATCCTACCGAAGGGTCGTCTTACAGTTTCTCGTCAGAATTTTTAGAATGTCGTCGTTGCAATCGTAGCAGAGAGAGAAGGAAGTTAAAAACTTCATTTGTCTGAATGACATTTTTTTTACAAAAAAAAATTTCAATTTATTTTAATATTTTTGTTTTATGGTCATGATTTATGATATTCTTATTACATCTTTTTTATGCAAATATCTTTTTTTCCAAATAATTCTGTTCGAAATTTGAAAAATTTAAAAATTTAAAGTTTTGATTAAAAATGTTAATCCCTGATTCCTGAGATGAATTTACTGATATATAAATCAGACCAACCACCACTACCTTTAAAACAACAATCAAAATATAGTGTGTCAAACAAATCGTTATGACAGTTTGATCATGGTTCTCAAATATTGATTTTTTATCATAAATATAAACTCTAAAGAACTTTATCATTTGAAAAAACAAAAATGCTAAAAATTGAAACAATTACAACTTGAGTACTTTTGTAATGTAGCCTACAAATTGATATACAGTTAAACCCTAAATAAGCCATACATTGAAAGAATTCATCAAATGTCGTATTCTTTACTTTCTGATAATGGAATTTTGCAGATATTTAGTTTTTTAATTAAATGATTATATGGAACTCTTTAAAACTGTTCCCGCATATTCATGGCTATTTATTTATTTTTCGCAAATACTGAAATTTACATAAATTAGTATAAAACTCATTGAAAAATTTTCAAGACGCGATTTGATAAATTCTTTCGATTTTTGGCTCATTTAGGGTTTAACTATATGTAATTTGATAAAAAAATCATAAAATTTAAAGTTTAAAGGTTTTATATGATAAATAATCTAAATTTACTTTTTAGTAAATATAAAAATATAAAGCCCTTAAATACGCAGCAGAACGTAACATAATTTGTTGCATTATTTTGTGTGTAATATTTCATCTATAAAATTGTGTTTGATTTCCAAATCTTTAATGGCAAGTTAAACAAATTATGGAGCATTCAGTCCTGATTTCTATGAGATAATAATATTCTGCAATCTATTTATAAAATACTATCATAAAAAATTATAATATAAATTATAAAAAATCTATTCATAAAATACTTGCCTGAGCCCAGGTTTAATATTTTCAGTCCTAAAATATATTTAAGCATTTGAAAGTTCATCCATAAAAGTGATAAAAATTAAAATATTTTATATCTATTTGATACATCTCCAGATAAATTGATTTTAGATAAATTGATCTTTTTATCAATTGATCTTTATACAAATTGATCTTTATATAAATTGATCTTTTTATAAATTGATCTTTATAGAAATTGATCGGTATATAAATTGATGATTAGATAAACTGATCTTCAGATAAATTAAACCTTATATAAATTGATCTTTAGATAAATTGATCTTCAGATAAATTGATCTTTAGTTAACTGATCTTCATTACAATTGATCTGTATATAAATTGAACCTTATATAAATTAATCTTTAGATAAACTGATCTTCATTACAATTGATCTTCATTACAACTGATCTTAATAAAAATTGATGATTAGATAAATTTATCTTCAGAGAAATTGATCTTCAGAGAAATTGAATTTCAGATAAATTGATCTTCATAAAAATTGATCTGTGTATAAATTGATATGAGATAAATTGATCTTCAGATAAATTGATTTTTATATAAATCAATCTTCATATAAATTGATCCTAGGTTAACCCTATACAGGCTGGGGGGGCGTTCGGTACAACCCCTCTGTAGTTTTCTTGTCCTAGCACTCTCATTTTTGACACTATCACCTTGAGATTTTGTGACTTTTAATGAATAGTAATTTAAAGAATTTTTTCGTTGACATTTTTTTTTTTAATTTAAAGGGTAGGGTACAGGGCGGTAAAAAAGTCCGGTCTGTGAAAAAAATCTGAAATAGCCCATAACTTTATTTGTGATTTACAGACCTAAAAACTCTATTTTTGAAAAGCCCTTGAAAAATGCATTTAGAAACATGTGTCACACTTTAAGATTTGTTTAAAGAAAAAATAAAAATTTCATTTTTTTACCCTTTTTTAGGCATTTTTTTCCACCCTTCCTAGCACCCAAACTATTAAAATCATCGGTTTTTTTTTTCTTTGAGCTGGCCATGAAAAATCGGCGTTTATACCAATACAATGAAAACGACTTGTTATTAATAATGCTTTGATCCCTGACAAGCGGTTTTTATATTGCAAATTTGTTTACATAATTTTGTTTCTTATTAATTGAAAGCTTGGAATAAATCAAAATGGAAAGTCGTCTTCATTGTATTAATACACGACTAAGATTTTACGACCTGTAAAGGAATCCAGTTTATCGAAGAGATGTGCTCGAATTATTTTCGGTATCTCACTCAAATCCAAGCTAGTCAACCTGGATATAAACGTCAACTAAAGTAAGAATGAAAAATGTTTTGAATTTCTATTTTGTTATTAGATAAAAACAATACAGGAGCTAGGAGGTCATAATTAAAGTATTACAATGCAGATGCAGTAATGTGCTTCTTTGGTCTTGTTCAGTGTCAATAATTTATCAAATCAAACAAACAAATAAACTCTGATCTTTCTTCAAATAGTTTTCTTTACACTTTTGGAAGAAAAAGTAAAATTAACTAAACTTTGAGGTCACTTTAATTAAACAAAAGAGCCTGTCAAATCATTCGTTGGGATGTTTAAAAAGATGAAAATTTCTCTGTATGATAATTGAAGGACTGTAGTATGTTTTGGTGAATTATATTGGCGTACAAAGCCTAGGGGTGTCAGAAATGATTTTTTTGCATATATTTAAAAACTTCTATAAAACTTTTTAAGGTTTAATTTTTGATAAAACTTTTTGTTCTGGATGATTGCAAATATCTATCTAAAACTTTCTTAAACCGGCATATTTTTTCTATATTCATTTAGTTAAGAGTTTGAGTCAAACATACCGATGTAAAACCTTTTAGAAAGTAGGAAAGATTCTGCAAAAAAAAGTTGCCAAACCAAACAGAATTTTTATTTTGAACAAAAATATTTAGAACTTAAAGAAGCTTTTCTGGGTTGTTGATTTGTAAAAATCCAGGGGGGGGTACACCCCCCCCTAATTTCACTCAGGGGGGGGTAATGGACTGCCACCCCCCCCTTGAAACCGCCTATGGTCAAGGTTTTTAATGTTTAATTTACATCTTGTACAGGGTGTTTCACGAAACTTGACAATTAGCGAATAGTTTAAAATGTCTTCTTCCATAATTGGTTAAGTTCTTTGATACCAAACAGTCTACTTGAAATTATTGTATGGGAGTCATCTTGTAGTAAAATTGATTTCAAAGTCAAATAAATTTATGTAAAAGATTTTTAACGAAATAAACTGTAAAAAGTCTTAAATATTTAATACATTATATGGAAGAAGACATTAAAAAATATTCACTAACTATCGTGTTTCGTGATACACCCTGTATAAGAAGTAAATTTTACGTGGAATTTACTGTAGTTTAATGTAAATTCTATTCTGTTTATTTTATTTCATATCTGCAATATTCTAATCAACTAGGTTTAATTTACTCTAGTTTAATGTAAATTATATTCTGTTTATTTTATTTGATATGTGCAATATTCTAATCAATTAGGTTTAATTTAAATACACACATTTTCCATTTACATTTTCATAATATATCATTCGAAAATAGATTGTATATTTCAATTTTAACATTTAAAATCAACTGTGAATAAAAACTTTATTGCAAAAAAAATTATCTTGAATTTTGCAACGTAAAATTTATCCCTCTGAACCCCTGTTGTTATTTTGTAAATGCCATGTTGTAAATGGATTGTAATTCTAAATTAAACGTTTACAGTTCCTGTAAGGATAAGAAAAGTACAAACGGATAATTTCAATCCATCTTGTTATTTATCAATTGTTGCTTTTCAGCTTTACCTTTCTGTAATAATTATATCGGAGAAATTAATAATAATTGACATCTCTCTACTGTGCTGTATTCCAGACCTTAAAATTTATAAAAATAATAATATAATAAAAAACACTCACATGTTTGAATCACAGTCAACTTTCTTTAGAAAAACATTTTTTATATTGACTGCTCGCTCCAGCCCTCGCAGTAGATGCAGGCTTGTAGTCTAAAATGGATTAGTTGTGGAATTTAAATGATTAATATGCCTCAAAGTATAATGTTCAAATAGCCATGAGTACAAAATTGTAATTTACAGAACTAAACTTCTCAAAGGGTTTCCTAAACCAAGTTTGCCACGAAAACATCCAGGAGAACCCGCGGGATAAATAAATCCTTAATTTCCCGAAAATTTCATGAAAACTTGAATGTCCCAAGGGACTTTAAGAACCTTGACTTCCATCTGTTCAGGGAATCATGGGTCTGTAATGTTGGTCAACAGGCGGTATCATAAATATTTACAACTTCTTTACAAAGAATATATAATGGAATTTTACTCAACTAAGTAAAAACATAATAATGTTTACTCAACTAAGTAAAAACATAATAATGTTTACTCAACTAAGTAAAAACATAATAATGTTTACTCAACTAAGTAAAAACATAATAATGTTTACTCAACTAAGTAAAAACATAATAATGTTTTCTAATCAGGTTGTAAAGATATAGGGATTATTTAAAAAAGAGTTGTAGGCAAGTATTTAGTTCTTTTTAGTTACAAAAATGAAAATCCTCGGACCAGGATAATTTAAAAGGGAGACAATCCTGTCCCTGATAGCATATTGGACCTATTTACAAAGGAAGGACTTTTCAAACTTTTTGGATAGACAAAGTTTTGAGGGCCGAGTCAAACGCAATAAGTTACAGTGAAACCCTTGAAAACGAATACATCGAAAGAATTTATCAAATGTCGTCTTGACAATTATTCAATGAGTTTTATACTATATTACGTAAATTTCAGTATTTGCGAAAATAAATAAATATCCATGAATATGCGGGAACAGTTTTAAAGAGTTCCATATAATCATTTAATTAAAAAACTAAATATCTGCAACATTCCATTATCAGAAAGTGAAGAATACGACATTCGATGAATTCTTTCGATGTATTCGTTATTAAGGGTTTCACTGTATGATTTTCATATTTTCTCTGTTCAAAATTATGACATACTTTATACCTGTATTAGATGGCCAGGAATACATGAATAAATAAGCTCACTGAAAAAAAATATTTTATAACTGATTCTCTTATTATATATACTAGCTGAAGTGCCCGGCGTTGCCCATGAAATAAAAAAAATATTTTTTAGAATTTTTTTTGAATAATAAAGAAAAAAGATTTTAGAAAAAATCGAACTTTGCTTAGCCTTTGTCACCCCCAGGTTAATTATCCATGAATGTCCACAAAAAAATTGTCAGCCCATTCGGTCCAACCATTCGGAGGGAACATGCGAATATATTGCTTTATATTATACAGATAAAAAGTTAATTTGTTTTGCCGAATAGTTCGGTTCGTCCGTTTCAAGGGACCGTTCATTTTAAAATTGGTGTGGTAGATTCATATCATTTATACCTTAAAAACTTTCTCAAGTAAAAACGAATGAGATCTCCCAAATGGATTCTTTAAAAAATGGTAATTCTTTTAATTCATGCATGTACGTCTCTATAAAAGCGGATTTCTGCAACAAAAACAATAGCAAAATTATTGAGAATTAAACACTTTTTAAGCCAAAAAAGGATGATAGCTTGCACAATATTAATGAAAATTTGAATGGTCGCTTGAAATTACGTTTTTATCCCAATGGAATCAAAAAGTAATAAAAAACAATAAATATTTCTTATGAATGGCGATGAAATGAATTTCTATGATGAACTTCCCTGAACATATTTGCCGCTTCCTTGGTTAGGTTTCTGGTCAACTCTATCAGGGTCTGGGAGTCCAGGGTCTCCTGCTTACTCATCCTAACCAATGTAGAAAAAATAATTGTCGTCTTCGATCTCATATTTCCCATAAACCATACGCCAGACTAAATTGGGTTAAAAGTGTCTAATTATGATAATTTCCATGGATTTATCTGCAATAGAAATGCGTAATGTTTTTTTGAAGAAATACCACAATTGAAAATTGTCAAATTTTTAAACATTGATTCATATACAGGGTGTCCCACGAAACATGACAGTTGGTGAATAGCTTAAAATGGGAGCCATGTTATGTTAAAATTGATTTCAAAGTATAATTAGGCAAAAGATTTGTTTAACTAAAAATAACTATTTCTTAAATGTCATGTTTCGTGGGACACCCTGCATAATTTATATTTGAGCTGACAAAGCATTGTCACCTTTCCAATCTGTCAGCTTTAGAACAGATCCTTCTAGAAATCTCTAATGTGTGCTGTGCTGTTAAAAGTTCTAAACTAAGGAAACATTTATTAAGTAAACTGTCAACTGGTTTGTAGAGCGGCATTTTATTCTGACAAAAAATAATCTTTTAATGAACTGTTAAGTGTACACACTATACAAATACAACGATTTTGAGAATTATTTTATCATTTCAACTAATCGGTTTTTCTTGGCATGCAGACATAATTCAACCCGTTTTAGGCTTTAAAATTCCTAAGATTTAAAAAATGCTTAAACATATAGATGTTATGTTGACAATCCCTTATCATGCCATAGGTTGTAATTAGAATGGAGACTCTCAACAACCGTTTAGACAAGAAAATTAAATTTTTATTTCATGAATTCACTATTTCTCATGTACTCGTATATGTAATTCATTTGGCTGTGTGGCATCACATGGAACTCTAAATATCTATTTTTATACAGTGATAGCCAGAAAATTTGAAATAGTAAAATTGGACTTTTAGGCTTAAATTATGACTTTAGATAATACAATAAGCTTGGGAAACATCAAATACACTTAGGCATTGCTGTAAAGTCGTCTTCCTATATCAGAATTTTCTGGTTAACACCGCATCTTTGCAACATTATGGTTAATCTTGTTAGTTTAAAATATCAAAAGTCCAAGTTTACTAAGCTATAAAGATTCGAAATTTCAGTCTAAAGTTTTTTTATGATATGTAAAATGATAGATAAATGTTTCTTAATGTTTTTGCTTGTGAGCGATGTTACTAGTAAAACTGATGAAACTGATTTGTATTTTGTAACAAACCTAACACTTACTTTCTAAAGCTTTCTCAAAACGTACATCTAAATTTTGCCAACAAAAGAAAGTTTTAAGATTTTCTGAAAAATTTTCTTATGTTTTATAGCACCCTCCCCCTATTTCCAAAAAAGGCACTTAACTACCTACGATGAGGGGGAAGGGTTAGGGAGTGACATATACTGTGATTCTACAAAACTTTTTTGGCTATATACTGCAGTTTCAATTGAGAGTTTCATGCACCCATTTCCATCTGTATACTGCCCATCGTACACCCCCCATCCCGGCTCCCCATCTATAATTGAATATTCTTTTGACCATAAACTGATTAAACTAATACAGATTATAAATCTTAAAATCTTAATAATTAGATGAGCAATATGCAGGGTTACCCACAAAGAATGAGACTCAGAAACGACTGTACCGAATCTATTTAGGCTTTACTCTATATTTTTGGTTTACTGCATCTGTAAAGTTGTAAACAATGTTACTGCATCTGTAAAGTTGTAAGTAATGTTACTGTATCTGTAAAGTTGTAAACAATGTTTCTGCATCTGTAAAGTTGTAAACAATGTTACTGCATCTGTAAAGTTGTAAACAATGTTACTGTATTTGTAAAGTTGTAACAATGTTACTGTATCTGAAAAGTTGTCAACAATGTTACTGTAACTGTAAAGTTGTAAACAATGTTACTATATCTGTAAAGTTGTAAACAATGTTTCTGCATCTGTAAAGTTGTAAACAAAGTTACTGCATCTGAAAAGTTGTAAACAATGTTACTGTATTTGTAAAGTTGTAAACAATGTTTCTGCATCTGTAAAGTTGTAACAATGTTACTGTATCTGAAAAGTTGTCAACAATGTTACTGTAACTGTAAAGTTGTAAACAATGTTACTGCATCTGTAAAGTTGTAAACAATGTTACTGTATTTGTAAAGTTGTAAACAATGTTTCTGCATCTGTAAAGTTGTAAACAATGTTACTGCATCTGTAAAGTTGTAAACAATGTTACTGTATCTGAAAAGTTGTCAACAATGTTACTGTAACTGTAAAGTTGTAAACAATGTTATTTTCTTTGAAAATCTGTTTAAGATACTATTTAGTAATTACACTACACTTGCATGGGACTGGGGTTTGTTGATTTAGAGAAACCAAAAACCTTAGTTAAAAATTATCAATTATCCCAGAGAAAAACATGGATATTGATTTTTGATCATTAACATATTTTAAGGGTACTGTTGCAGTCCCGTATATTAAAGTGTTTCAGGTTGTCATTAAAAAATATTCTTGATTTAATTCGAATTTCTATTCAACAAAACGTTGGTGCACTTATCCTAATTTCCCAACCAAACAGTCCAATAAAAAATGAATGCACAAATTTCCATGGTTTTCGGGTTTCCCGGCCTACAGGTGTTTAACCCTCTAACCTTTAACCCCCCCCCCCCTGCTACCCGGTATCATAGCCTTACCGGCGTATCATCTGAGTTTCTTGACCCCCCCCCCTCCTCTTTATTAACCCTGTCCAGGTTTAATTAGTTTTCATTTAACCCTAGACTACTAAACATGAAGGTTGTTTACACCCTGACTCTGATATCTGTATGCGTAGGTCAACCTACTGCTCACCGGGTACCTGGAGCCCGGTTAAAGCATCCAGGCTGTCTACTTTACCCCTTCCTACCAGGATGTACTCTAGCAGGTATAATTTCAACCACCAATACAGGGGGATCGTGAATATGTGGAAGAGGGAGACTGCTTTTAGACTCAAGTTATAATTTTGAAAAGATGCAAATAACTTTTAGGTATTGGTGAGTTATAGCTCATTATTTCTAATAAAATGTTAATCTTTGTGAATTAACAAATATTTTGTTTACTCTGAAACGTCTGAAACGTTTTTTTGCTTTTAAGTGGGGGGGGCACCTTTTCCTAGCTCCTGACAGGGAAGGGGTGAACGCAGAAAATAACGTAATTTTTAATGATTTATTTATGTAGCCTTGGGGGGGGGGGGAAGGAGAAAAAAGTAATAATTAATGATTTAATTCTGTAAAAAAATCTTGTCCCCAGCTCCCCCCCCCTCCCCCTTAGGCCCTGGTGTATATAAGTTTCAGACATTTTGGGCTCTATCATTCAATAAAATCTGAGTTTAGATGAATATTTAAAAAATCGAGTTTGATAAAATTGAAGAGCTGCCGTCTCTTAATGTTGTTATTTAGCAGAGATAAGAGAGTTACAGAGATCGATAAGAGAGTTACAGAGATCGATTATCAGCTAAAATATGCGATATTTTCCACAGCATATTCTATTGTGTACGTACTGTAAACGACCAATCAGCAAACATCTGTATTCAGGGATATTTAAGGATCCTTCTGATACGAAATACAAAATCTTCAAAAAAATACTGAATTCATAAATGTTATGTTTCATTTTAAAAATTGGAGTATTTTTTTAAAAGTTGTAAAACTTAACCCCTGAATGGGTATTTTGTTCAACAAGTGGCCGTGAGATGGCACTCTAAAAACCTATCGTAAAAACGTAGTATTATATACATTTGTCAACCCGTATCTTTTTATTTAAATGTTTTTCTTTTGTTGAATAGATAGCGTTGTTTACTTTTACTGACAAAGTATTATGTCTTTTAACAATATCTTTTTCCTTTATTACGATTAAAAATATTTTCATATTTTTCAGCTTTGTTTGGGGTTGATGTACTCGGTAGATATGACTGGAAGACATTGTGTACTCAGTACACTGACCTTCAAGTACACCCCAGGTAGAATACTGTACTTTAATCATGTACTCGGTAGATATGACTGGAAAACATTGTTTACTCAGTACACTGACCTTTAAGTACACCCCAGGTAGAATACTGTACTTTAATCATGTACTACTGTAAAGTTGTAACCTACCTAAAGTGGCCCTCTATTAAAAAAAAATGGCATGTCTGATTCACAACAGTATTCTTTAATCTACATATAGGGTTACCCACAAAGCATAAGACTGTAAAGACGACCCAAAAATAAAAATATGACAATTGGAAGCTGGATTATCGGTTTCTGTATTCAATTAAGTATTTTGATGGCTTATTGGATAATTAAGCACAGAAGTAAGTCAGTTTTGGCCTACGGCTACGAAGATTCCGTAATGCAAGAAAACGGACGAAACAAAATTCCGTACAATCGGCTCTGAAGTCTCATCCTTTGTGGGTAACCCTGTATGATAAGTTATGCAATAAACAAACACAGTTTTCTTTAATATTTCATTGCAAACTATAAGACCGAAGAGGAAGGAAAAATATAAGTGAATTCACTGGATACGACTTTGTGTCCTCGCAGCTTATCTAGATTTGATTTAACACGCAAACATGAAAAAATCAAATAATTGTTCTGTTATAAATTAGAATTTCAAAACAGTCATTGTTCTTCTAAATAGCTCTTCATAATTAAAAGAGTTATGATTGAAAACATACAAGAATTTAACTGTACGTTGCAATTTATTTAAGTTTGACCAAATAGATTCTAGTACAATAGATGGCAACATAGAATTTGTACACTCTCAGTACAGCTGTATTCTGACGTCACAAGTGTCAATTCAGATTTTTTGTGCGGTCAAATTATAAATGATATTAATCATTTTAGAATAAAGTGCTTATCTTACAGTAAAATATGTGTTCTTTATTTTCTGTATTTTAAACTTTTTATTTAATCTTGGAAAACATGTAAACTAATGTGAGAAAATTTCGTTTTCCTTGTTTTATTTGACACTTGTGACGTCGTATATAATTGGTCTATTTCTCTGTTGCCACTTGTACTTGATAATCTATTTGAGTTTGACATGATTTTACATCCTAGGTGTGAGAAGTATAAAAGTGATGTTGTTCTGAACCAACTTGAAGAAGAAGTAAATTCCCTTCTCTGGGAGAAAGAGGCACGTGAGAAGGAGAGTCACCAAGTTCGACAAAATCTTGAAGGATTTGAAGGATATGGATACGTCTCCAGACCGGATTTTCAATTCAAGGAGACTAGAGAAAGAGAAGATCTTGGAGAATATATCATTACCAGAAACTAACTAAGAATAGCTAATATGCGCTGAAGGAAACAAAATTGAAAACTCTGGAAATTTATAATTTCTATTATCTAAATTTATTTATAAATATATTTTGGTAAACTTTACACTCTAAATTAAAAAGTCGTAATTAAGCGATAAAAAGTCGCATAATCGCTTAACATAAATCGCTTATTTAAAAAATGCTTTGTTTCAACAAAAAAATCGCTTTTATTGCAGAAAAAGTTGGTAACTGCCAAATAAGCGACACAAAATCGTTTATTTTTAACAAAAAAATCTCTTTTTTTTAACACAATAACCGCTTATTATTAACGAAATCGCTTGTTTTGAAAAAATCGTTTTAATTCAACCAAAAGATTTTTTATTTTAAAAAAATCGTTTATTTTCAACAAAAAAACGTTTTAATTTAGCCAAAAAATCTCCTATATTAAAAAAAACTTGTTTATTTTAAACAAAAAATCATTTTAATTTAACCAAAAAATCTCTTATATTCAACAAAAAACTCGCTTATTTTCAAATTTTTTTTTATATTTAACAAAAATCATTTATAATATATAATATAGTTATAAAAGACCTCAATTAACGAAATACCAGAAGTTGCTCAACAAGGTGCGGATAGTTAAACTAAAGTGCGTTTAGGAAAGCACTCTTGTAGTTTAAGAACCCTTTACTAGTTCAACTTCATTTTTTGGAATGTCACTTTCTTCGCTTATTTTGTGATTCGTAGTTCTAATTGACTATTCTTCGTTCATTGTGTGATCTTTATTTTCATGCGATTTTCGTTCTTTCTTTGAATTTCCGTTCGTTCAAAAAATCATATGTTCAGCATCAACTTTGCAACCAACCAGAGAATACTTGGATACACATTTCTAAATCTCTGTATCCACTGTGGTGCACTTGTCTTCTTAATTATCTCTTTTCGTGCGCGCACGAACATTAATGTAAGATTAACTTAATCCTCAGATTAATCAAAAGAAGAGATCAAGATTCAAGCATTAGTCTTCATTTCACCAATTATAAAGTTTTCAGCTCAGACTGAGGACATTTTTTAATTTGCAAAAACGACGTCTCAAGTAAACAGTGATATTTTTTTTGCAAAATTAAGTTTTCAATTTTTTTTACAGTGAAAAATGTCAAATAAGGGATGATAAAGGATACTAAACGGAATGTTAAATGACCTTTTATGCAAAAATGACATTTGATGATTCATTTAGGATTTTCTGCAGTAGAACTGCGCATTGCACAAGTAAATGTAGAGAAACCACAATTAAAAATAATCCGTTTTAAAATAGCACACATTAATATCTGATTCATACTTTTAAGGGATGCACGATGTAAACTGTGCATCTTTGCATTAAGTGGCACTTGAAATTACGCGAACATGGTTCCTTTAATATAGAACCTGATGATGTCCGGGGGCGAAATATATCTAACAGTTCCTTTAATATAGAACCTGATGATGTCCGGGGGCGAAATATATCTAACAGTTCCTTTAATATATAATAGAACCTGATGATGTCCAGGGGCGAAATGGGTAAAAGAAATCGGAAACTAAATGTTCTAATTAAACACACATTCCTTTGCAGGGGCGTACATTGGGTGGGGGGTTGTAGGGAATGAGCCCCCTTGACAAGTAAAAACTATAGTTTCCAGGGGCTATTTTGCATTATTAAAAAGTGGCCCCCCTGGACAAATTCCTGGATACGCCCATATCGCATGTCATCCGTATTGAACTTAAGTACACTGTAGATTTAAAAATGTATTGAAAATACATATGTTACCTTTCTCAATTATAATGAAAAATAATGCCAATCTACGAGGAAAAATAAACATGCAAAACTAAACATTTATGAATAATTTCCAAAAATTTCAATATTGGATTGTCAATAAAAGCTTTTATGGAGCAACAAAATTATCAATTTATCATTAAATAAAATAATAAATAACGTTTTTCAAGTATGTCTAATGCACTGAAATTGGATTCATTATTCTATTTTTTTAAACCTTGTCCTTTACACAAAAATAAACAAAAATTATGCCAAGGAAACAGTCATTTGATGGACTCATTCTTTGCATTAATTTTAATAATCTTTAACTAACACAGATTATAAAACATTTTTCTGAAACATTTTTATAGAAATAAAAAAGTATTCTTCTTGGAATACAATGACATACATTTTTTCCCAAATATTAAAATGGCTGTTTTAAATGGGGTTTAATGAAAAAATTTGTGAAAAAGTCACTAATATAAGTTAAAATGAAAATTCTGAATTCAAATCAATTTACAGAATTAAAATAATGAAATTTGACCGAGTTAGGTTAAAAAAAAAACACTCTTTTTTAAGTATTTAATGAAAAATGTTTTTTTAAAATTCCAAGTGGAATACTATTTTGGTTCTGTAAAATGGATTTTAGAAAAATGTCTCACCCCTACTATCTAGCCCTATAACTATGGATCTACTTTTCTTAATCAAATATTGTTTTTTTTTTCAAGAAAAAAGATAAGGATATTCAATGCAAATAAACAACTTCAAAGATTAGAATAGTGTAAATAAAAAGTATAAATGAAGTACAAGTAAGGAAGATATTGTCGTTTATATCTTGAATTAGATACTTCCAATTTCATATCTTGCTCAATTCTAAAGAGAAACCGCTCCATTAATTTTGGACTTAAAAACATATTCTCAGACAAATATTAAAAGGGTACCATTGTGAATCGGAAAATAATTTTTACCATTTAATTTTCAGATATATTGTAAAGGCTTGAATTGAAATAAAATATACTGAGTGAACAAGAATTGTGCAACGTTCAATTGAAAGAAGAAAACACATTGTAATGTTTGTTTTATTTTTCTAATTTTGCTGTAGCAACAACAGTTCTAATTAAAAGTAAATGATTAAATTGTAAATTGACTTTTTATAAAGTTTTATATATAAGGTGTAAAGAAAGTAATGCATCTGACTGTTTTGGCTCTATGGTGAAAAAAGTGTGATCGACAAATAATAATTGATCAAATATTTTTCTATCTACTCTTACTAAGCTGGTTTTAATGTAAACAAACTCATTCATAATTGCTGTTTTCATTCACTTGAAGAAAGTATACAAAAATAAACTCTGAAACGGCTGTTATGTTAGATATGGACCTCACTGTCATACTAAATCTTCATTTTACTAGTTTACTTCACAATATCCAAAGTATAACGCAATGAACACAAAACGAATACTTTATTGATAAAAATAAAAATAAAAATCAAATGGTTAAATCTACATAGGGATGGTAGGATTCATCCTGATTACGAACCCTCTGCCTCCACCGTTTTCCTCGAGAAAGATAAAAATCCGATCAAAGGTGTAATAAACTAGATAAAAGAAATAAACAGCTTTGTTAGTGTTCATGGGAAAGTTTATTTTTCTCAAAAAAAAATAAACTGTAGCTAAAGATAAGAAGCTATATTTCTAAAATTACAATAAAAGATAATTAGTTATCTATTAGACATGAAGGAGGTGAGACCTCTTCTCTTTGCTTTAGCTGCAGCTGTAGTTAGCAGCACTCATGCTATATGCCCCTGCTCTATTCAGTCTGGTAGACTTACTTGCTCGGAAGGACTAGTAAACAACTTTCCAGAAGATTTACTGGCAGAAGGGTGCACCCTTGATTTTGATTCTGTATGGGCATTAGAGATTAAAAACCAGCCCTTGCGCATTTTAAAGGACAATGCTTTTGCAAAGTTTTCTAACCTGCTTCAGATTTCAATGCCGTTCAACCAAATTGAGTTTATTCAGAGGGATGCCTTTGCTGGTCTAAGTTCTGTAACTGGACTTATTCTTGAAAACAATGCCATTATGGAAATTCAAAATGGAGCCCTGGATCATTTGATAAATTTAAAGTTTATAGACCTTCGGGGAAACCCAAAGCTAGAAAGGTATACAACAACATCTTGGCATTTCTGTGAGTTAGCTGATATGAATGAACTTTCTTTGTCCGACATAGATGTGTACAAGCAGTTTGAACAAAGCTCATTAACCCCAAATTATTGTACAACTGTGAACAACTTTCATTTGGAATCTTGCGAAAAAAATGGAGAGACTCTTGACTGTTCTAACCTGATTGGACTTGGAGATTCACCCTGCTACATGAGTCATATGAATTTTACCCATATCCTATTTAACTTTCCAGCTGATTTGGAGCCAAGCACTGTGGATAACTATTATGAAGGAGAATCAAACAAATTTTTCCAAGATTTTAATTCCCAAAATGGATCATTTGAGCACATAAAATATATAGATAAATTCACACTTTATGAAACAAAATTTGATCTCAGTCTTCTTAAGGACTACACCACTTTCCGAACTAAAGAAGTAACCATCAAAGCAGATACAATTTACACATCCAAGCCAATAACCATTAATCATAAGCTTAATATTCAGGCTAGAGTTGTTTCATTGTCATATCCAATAACAATGAACATGACCAAGGAAAGTTTTCTGAATAATAAAAATTTGGAAGCCTGGGCGGCTAAGGAGGAATTTTACCATGTTGGAAAAGTTCTGATGAATAAGAGGAGCTATGGGCTATTGACCATTCTGCAGAATGTAAATCAACTTGTAGGCATCCAGGGAAATTCAGTTTGTCAACCAGACATTATTTCAGTAGAAGGATCAGGATTAGACATAGCATCTTGGTATGACACAACTCTTGTAAATCTTAACTATGTTTGTGCCCGCACTCTTCTGAACAAGCAGCGAAATCCAAAACTTGTAGACAACATCTCCACATTCATGCTTGGCTATGTTTATAATGATACAATTGTAAATAAAAGGGAGACCTTTTTAGCAGCACAAAAGTTTAAGAAGTTGCTTGAGCTGAATTCAGTAAGTAATGTGCACAATGTTCCAAGTTATTCTGTGGATACAATTTCTGACTTAGCAAGTATTATGCATAGCAGTATGCTAGATTATAAATTGAATGAACTCCAACAAGAAAGTAATTTGTTCAGTACTAGTGGTAGAGTCCAAGATATGAAAATCCAATTTGAAATAATTGAACAACAACAACAGATGTATTTTGAAATGGAAGCGTCTATTTTGGATGCTATTTGGGCATCTGCTGATAACAATTGGAACTTTAGTTTTGAGCATAGGAATGGAATTGAGGACCAGATTGGAGGGTCTCTGAATGATATACAAAGCCAAATGTATGAAATGCAAAAGAATGAGTTAACCAGAGCATTGAAAGCTGCTGAAGACTCTCTTGCTCATATAGATGCGGTCATTGAAAAGTATCAGACGCAGGTGGAGAGACTAGGTCTAATGACAAAGGCATCTCTTGATGTACAGACCACACTTATTGAAAGACTACAAGAGAATTCTCAGACAATGAGTGTTGAATTTGATAAATTTGAAATTGCCATTGAACAGTGGAAGCATGAACAAGAGGTTAAAGCTGTTTGGGGTATCTTTAAGGCAATGCTTAGTTTTGGAATTGGGTTGGCTACAGGTAAATTTGAACCTGAAGACATTGCAGATGCCATTGATGCCATTATAGAAATAGAAGAGTTACTGATAGAACTGATTTTTCTGATTGACAGTTGTAATGAAATCCAAGATATGATAGAAGATATGGATTTAGATGACCTGGCAGATATTGATATAAACCTGAGTACAAGCTTCAAAGATGTACTACAGACAGCAGTAGATATGAAACTTAAAGGGTCAGATTTTGATGAAATAGAAAGAACTGCAACTATCAAAATTGATGCTATGAATCAGGCAACAGATTTTGAAATTGAAGGTGCAGATGATGTTATGATGGCCTGTACAAGTGTGTCTGATGTTGGGCATCAGTTGATCATTGAAGCCTCTGACTTTGCGAATATAATGCTTCAACTAGCTGAGAGAAATGATGAACTAGCTGTTGCTAAAGAAGACAAAAACAGAACCATTGCAGAGATTGAATATATCCAAGAAATGATTGAGACCCTGCTGAAAGAACAGGAGGAGTTTGAAAAGAACCGTGATGAGTCAAGAAATGACTATGAAAATCAACTAAAGGACATGGAAGAACGCTATGCCAATATGACACAGGAGCTAAGAGAAGAATACAGAAAAAATATAACGGCTTCCTTTGCCAAATTTAAAGACAATTTTAAAGGAATTGCTGAGGCTTACAATAACCAAATCTATTCCCTTATGGGAGGTATTCATAAAAAATTGTATGGTCTTAAAGAACATAGCATGAATCAAAGAGCAATGATAATGAACTTGTTTATGGAGTACTGTGATGCAGATTTCTATCATACATTTACCCCCTGTGATGACCATGGCCTACCTTTCATGTCTGATGAAATAGACATTATTTTACGGAAACTAAATGATATTCAGTGGAACTCTGTCACTGCAAATGAGAATATTGATGGGACTCCGATAGAATTCTCGGGAAGATTTATAATTGACAGCAGTGATGCCATGTATGGCGAAAAAAAGAGTTATATGGTTCAAAACTTGAAAGCATTTGGAGAAGTAGACATAAATCTTCGAGAACTGGATGATACAAACCATTTTGATGATTTTTGGCGAGTTAGGATTGAAACATTAAGTTTAGTTCTTTTAGATGATTCAAATTTTCCCATTCAAAGCAACGGCACAACATTTGGCAAAGAGATTCAAATCAAAGTACAGTATCCAACTATATTTACTGACATGGGCATAAATGGAGAAAGAAGCAACTTTTTGGCCCTCAACTTTGCCTGCAATTCAGACTACATTACATATGGCTCGGGTACTGAACTTAAAATCAAAATGGATAAAGATTTAGGTTAACTTTTTGTATTTTCAGACATAGAGTGGACTAGTGAGTGCAAGGTGGATGAGGAGTTTTCTCAGAAGAACTATAAACCTGCACCTGATGGATTATTTTCTTTTAAGGTAAATATAAGACAATAGTTAGATTTTATGATTTTTCACATTTTCAATGTTTAGATTGAAAATCCTGAACTCATTGACATGGAGAGAGTTAGTAAGATATCCGTTGGATTTGCCGGAACAAGAATCAGGAATTCCTTCCAGATTAATTCTGGGGAAGTTATGTAAATTACATGAAGGACTTGTAATTGATAAATGATTGAATTTTCAATAAAATTTAATTTTCCAAAAGGATTTCAAATTAGATTTAGAGATGTCTTGATTAAGTCTCTGATTTTTTTTTTTAGACTTCCATGGATGACTGTAGAATTGAAACATTTGATTGTAAAATTGAAATTATAGACATTCAGAACCTTGCCAATCTTAATTAAAGGTTCTTTAATTTTAAATTTCAAAGACATAATATTTCTGAAGAATGGGTTAGGTAAACCTAACAGAAATTAACAACATTTGGAGTTATGCTTCCATATTCTAAGGGGTTTGTACAAGACGGGTTTGTAAAAAAATCCAAGAAAATAATATGAATTTTCAATATTACCTTATACTGGTGATTTTCAAACATTTTTTATTATGTATTATTATCAGTTTAGGGCAAAAATGCATCAATACACTATATAAATGCCTTAGAATCCAATACAATTTTCAAACATTTTTNTATACTGGTGATTTTCAAACATTTTTTATTATGTATTATTATCAGTTTAGGGCAAAAATGCTTCAATACACTATATAAATGCCTTAGAATCCAATACAATTTTCAAACATACTTTTGGAATACAATTTTTTTCTGCAAAATGGAATGAGAAATATGTCATACATCTTTATAGGCAACTAGACTTATTGTGCTTGCGATATGTAAGTTTTCCCATAATGGAGTGCACTGGTTTTTAATGAAAAATGAAATTTGGCACAAACTAAGTATGCATGTAGGAAAAAGTACATAAACATGATAGTCTGTGAAATTGCTAGTTGATTTAGCATTGAATCGAATATAGCTCGAAAGATAGCTTGGGTTCTCGTTGAAACATACATGTGTAGTTCTTGCCTTGATAATTGGCACTTGAATCAAATATAGCTTGAAAGATAGCTTGGGTCCTCGTTGAATTATACGAGTTGAGATTTGGACTGTGTGTCCTTTAAACCGGAGAGTTAATCATGGTTGAGATATTGTCTGTGCGTCATTTAGAATCGGAGAATTTATCCTGTTTAATCTTGGTATCTAGTACACCTGGATATGTCTCTAGTAAAATTGTTTTGGAGTAGGTATTTGCTACATGCAATAAATTACATAATAAAGTATAATGTGATGTAATGCAGGAAAGTAACAAAAATTATCTACATAAACTTTCCAAGTGGAAAGTAAAAAGTTTTAAATGAACTGGATGGGGGCTGGGTAGGGTGGCCAGTAAAAATTGGTTAGTGGTGGTTTCTTTTCTTTTTAATCCTATTGCTGCTGGGGGGGGGGGTCAATTTGACCCCCCCCTGTAGTTTTTTTTTCAAAAAGTATTGGTCTGAACTCTGAGGCTGTTGAAATTTTCTGACTTTTCTTACATACCCAAAGCCCTCCCTTTAAGCCTAAAACTGGGCTTTAATACTAACTGCCTGAGCCCTCAGTTAAACTGCCTGAATGACTGATTTTGCCTGTAAGAAACTAAATCTTTGTTTTGACCCACTTTCACTTGTCAGATTTTGATAAAATTTAGCTTTTTGGAAAGCCTATGACATAAGGAAGCGGATTGTTCAAGTTTTGCGAAAAAAAATTGCAAATTTTTTGCAAACAACCTGTCAAAGGAAATTTGCACATTTTTAGTTTTTCTTGATTAAAAATCAGGTTATTTAAAATGTTGAAAAATTTTTTGCATACTTTAAATGGCATGATCAAGGGCTGTTCAAAAATGTTTAATTTTTCATTTTTTGGACACATTTTTTTTGCAAACATTTTTACTATATAACTGGATTTTGCGATAAAAAATTCAATTTTTACAAATTTGCAATTTTTTTGCAGATTCTAAAAGTAGAGCACAAAAGCTTTCTAATGATGTATCATTTGTCATATTTGTACATAAAAAATGGGATTTAGAGGGGGGGGGTCAAATTGACCCCCCCCCCAGCATATCCTTGTTTTCAAGTACCCCAGCAGGTATAGGGTTAAAAGATATATATTAAACTAAGAAAAATCAAAAATATTTTGCATGCCACCAGTAGAAACGTGATTTTTGAACGTTTTTGATTTTATTTCTTTAATCTTTCGTATAATCTTAAGATATTGACTGAGAATGATGTTTTTAAACTTTTTGGAAATCCCAATCCCAATTCTGAATATTTTATAATTTCACATTTTTGTTAGTAAAATTAGCTTCAAAATCATCGATTTTATTGATGCGTACTTGCACATTACCCTTTACCCTTAGAAATGAAAAATAAAATTGTTTCGTTAGTTTTCTTCCAAAATGTTCTTATTTAGAAATAACTTCAAAAATGGTTAATTTATTGACAGTTCAATTTTAATGACGTATTTAGACATTTTCATTTTGCACTTTTAAAAATAATCATTATATATTTAGAAAAACACATGTTGGATTTTTTTAAAAAAATACTTTCTGAAAATTTGCAAAGGAATTGATTCTTTGTCACACATTTTGATTTTCTGATTCCTTTATCTTTGCTATCCAATGTAGTAAATCTTCTATTTTTCAAACTAAATCAATTCTGTTAGATTAAATAATCTTAGTTGAAATATCGATGGTTTACACCATTAGGTTGCATCGATAAAGGGATTTGAAAATTCTTTTTGTAAAAAAATCATCTATTTTTTTATACGCCTTCATAACAATCTCTAAGAAATATCAAAAACATTTTGCTTTGAAGAACTTTGGGAAACTCTCGAAAACAAGTTCTTGTGACTGATTTCTCGGAAATTCTCGAGAAATGATCCGTAATTATTCCCCAATTTTTGGGTATCATGGCTTTGAGTCTTACTTTCGAGAAATATCTAAGAATTTCTCCGCAATTTTTTCCCAAGAAATATAGTGCAAATTTCTCAGGAAGCTCCTGAGAAATTCTCAGTTATACTTGGTCACCAATTTTACGGATTTTTTGGGGAACTGATTAAGAGTAGAATTAGTCTCGATAAAATCCTGAGAATTTCACTAGATTTCTTCCAAGAAATGTCTAAGAATTTCTTTGAAATTCCTGAGCTCTCTGGATCTCTTTAAAACTGTTCCCGCATATTCATGGCTATTTATTTATTTTCGCACACAGTGAAATTTACGAAATATAGTATAAAACCCATTGAACAATTGCGAAGACGACATTTAATAAATTCTTCCGATTTTTCGTTATTAAGGGGTTTCACTGTACATAGAAACCTATATAAATTATTAAAATGAAACACTTTCCACATATCGTCAATAGCTTCTACATAGTTGATTTTATAAAGAATCAGTTGTGAATCGGGTTTTGCCAACCTAGCATGAAGGGTCATTTGAAATTAGACTAATTCTGTCCCTTTAAAGAATGTGTAACATATCATAGGGTGTATAAAAGAAACCAGGATGATATTATGAAAAAATATTAACAAGTAAGTAGGTCGAAATGTTTTTTCAAACTTTATATCAATCTTTTTGAATTTAAAAAAAAATTTTAAAAAAAGCAAATAATGATTTTATAGGGGAGGCAGTCAATCTCAGCGATTACTTCAAATATTTGAGATTTTTGAGATTCATTAAAGATTTTCCTGAAAACGAAATCTTAAAAAAAACATATTTCGTCTATTTTGCAAATTCTGAGTTTCTGAAAATTCAGTGTAAACCCTAGTTTGAGTAGAGAGCGAAGGAACAAACACATTTTGCGAAGAGAGGAGATGAGAAGAGTATAAAATGAGAGAAACTGTTGAGTCTCTATTCAGTAATGTATGGCAGGAATACCCAGGAACATACAGAAAACTAGCAATCAATCAATCAATCAATTTATTAATTAATTTAAGTAAAACATGTAATTAAAATAATTTTAGAAAAATTGTCAAATATTAACTCAAAAATTGAATTAAAATACCTCGATCTTTGGAACCTGTAAATATTGATAAAGAAAAGTGGACCCAATAAATTGTAGAAAAGGAAGACGACTGTAAGGTATGATATTAAATGGTCCAATAAACATAAAACACGGCAACTGTGCAGTGTACAGTGTGCAGAATTGTTTTACTTAATAAGTGGATTTTAGAGCTACTGATAAAATTATTGATTTCTAATTAGATACATGAAATATGGAAGCGATTGCTTAAATGTCGTCTTCTTATTCCACGGTTTTATGTACACCTCGTTTTACAAGAATTAAAGCTCTTGAAACTAAATTTATTTTTACACGGGGCCCTGAAAATAGATACTTCAAAATGGTTTCAGACAAACATATTTCCAAATTTCAAATTTGTTTTTATTTTCAAATATTCTGTTATGTTGTTAAGGTTTTATTGTGTTGGTTTTATGTACTCTGTACTGTACTGCACGCTGCTACAAACATAAACAAGGTGAATGTGTACTGCGGGATTACTTTGCGAACTACGAACTTCCTAGGTTTTATATTATACCTGAGAGCAAAGAGCTTTGTAATATAAAGAGTAGGCATTGGAATTTATACGAAAAACCAGACGCCTGAATTGGGTTGAAAAAAAGCCATAGAATGTCGTCTTTTCTATAATTTAAAAAGATTGTAGGACGTTTTAAGCATTTCAATCACCAAAAACTTACGTTTTTTACGTAATTTACCGTTATAAATGCATAACTTTATTATCTTTTTAGATAAACTTTAAAAATTTGGGATATTTCAAAAAAAAATTCCAATTTAAATGGAATTTATGAATTTTATTTCTCATTGTTGACAAGCTTATTATATCTAGAAATAAGTATTTCATAATGACAAGTGCACAAGCCTTTCAGAAATTTACCTATAACACAATTATGTTAACACGATGCATGTAATAAAGAGTTTTGACTTAAATGGAATGATATTACAAACAATAGTTATCGATTATTTTTCGACGCATTTGTAAATAGTTGATATTTCATAATATTTTGTATTTTTCATGATCTGAGAGTTACGTTTGAAAACATTTATTTCTGTTTCGAGGATTTTTGATAATGAAGACGACATTTTCATATTTTCCAGGAATGTTCGAAAACCCAGCACCAGCGAAAATTATTTTTAAACAAAAAAATCAAAAATATTATGAAATTTTAACTTTATACGAATGCGTCGAAAAATAATCGATGACTATTGTTTGTAATATCTGAATGATTTGTTTGGAATTAAATTGATTTGTTTACGATCCGAGTTGAATGTTGCATCTTTCCGAATTTGTATGGACGCTGCGTTCTTCGGTGTGAGTCGTTTTTAACAATTTTCTCCTTATAGACGTAACAGATAGAAGTAAGATTAGTAGCGATCAAAGCGCTTTTTTATCGCATTAAGCCTATACCCCCTTTCATTTTTCGCGAACACTCGACCTTTAAATTTGGGTCCAAAATCTATTTAGCATGCTCTAACTAAAGCAATATAAAGTGTAACAAACAGTATATAAATAGAACATAAAAACTTTTTCTGGTAATTTTCTATAAACCAGAAACCAGTGTTAAACCATCTCAAATAAGATAATGTTAATCAAAAACTGTATAAAATTTTTTTTTTCACCTCAAAATCTATCTGTTTAAAATCCTTATGGAGCCCAAGTCTGAAAATTTGAATTTTGAAAACGGACCAAAAAGCAATGTAAATGGATGTTAGTTTGTAAGTACAATTTGGTAACTGAGTGTGTGACTATTTTATACTTTTCATATTTAATTTGTATTCTATTCTTATCCTTATTGCATTCCAAAGATATTCTCTTTTATATTTATAATCCTTCGTGGACTTAATAGAGTTACAAAAATGTTAATGATCAGAAAAGCGCAACTAGTGGAGATGAACAGCATTTTTGTAAACGAACAAATTTTTTCAAATTTTTTTGTTAACAATAGTGTCGTTTAGAAACATTAACCTACTATCATTAAACGTTTTTAAATTGTTCAAAGAAATAAAAAGATGATGAAAAAAAACAGACCTGAAACCTTAAGAATTAAATATCCTTAATCCCGATTATTTAGCCATAGTAGTCATCCAATGGATACTTGGATATAGTAGAGAAAAATCAAAAACCGGTTTTTTAAATTAGAGAGTCTTTCCCGTTTCTATATATAAGCTTGCATGTCGCGCAAAATTTCAAATTTATCGGCTTCATATGCGCGACCTGATTGGTTGAATTTTATACACTTTTCAGGTTACAAGTACAAGATTAGGTTAGTCTCGATATTAAGAAAAAGAGAGGATCAAGCATTAATCTCGAAATCCGCCATTCTAAAGTTTTCAGCTCTAAACTATTAAAAATCGTTAATGATCGTTCCCATTTTTAGCTTTAGGAACAATTTTTTTATAAGCAATTTTAATAAACGATTATTCAGTTAGAAAACAACCAAAATAAAAAGGGTAAAATAGCAAATTCTAAACAACTGAAAAAAAACATCGAATGAAATGAGTGGTTGTTGAAAAAAGCTCCCGGGACATTTTTTATAGAATCTATATTTCTACTTTGTTTTTAACTAACATACATCAAATCATTTAAATAAACTTTATGTGCAAACTAATCTTTCGAAATTGTTTTAAATTATTTGTAAAAATTATCTCATCAGATAAAAGCTTGTTGAGTTTTTATAAACGTTTTCGCGGATTTGCTTAAAATCTGGAAATACTTTAGTGTAGAACTTTTTCTCTACGAACATTATACGTATTTTAAGAAATTAACTTGGTACACCAAAAGTGCGCTAAGTTTCAAAATGTGAATGAAGGAAGATGTTTTATAAGAAGTGACGTATATAAATAAATATGTTTAAGATCTGTATATTCGGATGAAAAGTATAGAATAAAAGTAGTTTCTGAATTATTTGATGATTTATCTCTATTTACCCATAAATCTGCAAATATTCATATCTTGATAAATCTAAATAAACATAAATATAAATCGTTGTATGTAAAATATTACCGAAATATACATTTATATTTTCTATGAGTTGTAAAACTGTGGAAACAAGTAACTTGACTATCAACGTACTAGGGAAAAAATCGGGTCAAAAAACACTGCATGATTTCTAGGTTTTCTGTTCATTTGATTATTTAAGATTATAAGTTGAGTGTAACAATCGTCTTCTCATTCCGTAGTTTTATTAGTCGTACTGTAGTTTGTACTATATATATATATATGTACTATTTATATATTTATATATATATATATATATATATATAAATATATAGATTGTATAGTCTGTATATTGACTTTTCAAACACATTGATGTAGCATATATAAATATATCTAAATATAATAAAACAAGACATTCACATCTATGTTGCGTATAGCCGGCCAAACGGCTGGACCGATTGGGCTGAAATTTGTTGGGACACTCATGAGTAGGCTTGGGTGTTGTAGGCTAAAAAATCGGAAATTTTTCTTTTCTTTTCAAAATTTTTTTCAAAAATTTTTTTTACGTGCAACGCACTCGCCGGGTCCTTCAGCTAGTGATTAATTTCTTTTTATCGATGATTTGATGTATCTCATGATTAAGTGGGATCATAAAAAAAATGAAGAAAAAAAGATTTCTACAAATTTTGTGAAAAAGGACATTTTTATTTTGCTACTGAGTTAAGATGAATTGTAAAGAGTAAAAGGCGCCTTCATTATTGCAAATTCTAAAAAAGACGAAAAGACACCGCTGGATTCTGTAAATTCTTTTATAGTTCTATAACTTGCAATTTTTACTGTATACTTTTTATCGAAATTCTGTGATATTCTATAAGTGTAAACTTTTTTATAGACTTTTTTATTTAGTCTTGAAACATCTTGATAGGAAAGAACTAAAACGAAATTTTACCGTGCGAATCAGAGTGTCCCACTCCCGATAAAAATCTGAAGGTCGTCTTCTTGTGACTTATTTGTTAATATAATTTATTCATATAATTTCCCTCTAGAATGCTTCCAACACCCCAGGACACAGAAGTATGGCCAAGCTCAAGATTTCAGGTCAGAAGTTTAATAAAAAACAATTTTAAATAATAAAATTTAAATCTGAAAACCTCTAAATTAAGAACAAATTAATGAGTTTTGAAAATGCTTGGAATTTAACTATATTGCAGCTGTTAACAGAAGATAACTGAGAATGATGTTTAAATGGCGACGAAGAATTTTGGGAGCCATTGCAATCTCAATGAAACTTTTACTTGTAATAATATTCCTTTGCATATGCAATTGGCATATACCATTATCAGGTTTAATGAGGGGTGGGGGAAGGAAGGGATGCCCCCTTGGAAAACTTTTGGGAGGAACTAGAGGCTGAGGCACTTTCTAGCTTTTCACATAGATTTTATAAATAAACTTTTAAAAATAAATTTTTTGCTGTATCACTTAAACATTCTAAATGAAATTATTAAAAATAAATATAAAAAATGACAAGTGAGTAAAACTTTTTCCCTCCTACTCCTGCTTTTTTACATAAATATTTTAATTTTATACCCCCCCCCCCTGAATCTTTAAGCTATTATCCACAGAATACACCATAAGCCGCCCATGAAAATTCTTTATCATTTATATTTCTAGAAAATATTGGGTTGTCCAGCAGTCCGTACACTCAGATCCAACCACAGAAAAGGTTTGCCATTTTTTTATATTTTAGTTTACGATTTAAAAGGACCGTTTTTTAATGGGGGAACACTTAAACTTACGTTTAAGACTCAGGTAATAGATATTTTATTTAAGAAGATCAGCTAAAGATGGCATTAGTCGACAAACCATCAGATTAATCAAAAGAAGTGCCCCAGACATGGAGTTCGAGGAGAACGACCTCATGGGCTTTAGTTATACACCAAACAACGCAGGATGGTATTCGCTTAACAAGAAGAATAGCGTGGAACCCAGACAATCATATCGGTTGATGAAGAAACCTGATTCCCGCCAGGTGCTTCGGTTATCAAAGAAAAGCGTGCAAGATGACAGCCCAGAATTTGGGAAGAGATCTGGCCAGGTGCTAAGATTATTGAAGAAAGATAGCCCAGCCCTTGTGGAGGATAAAGATGAAAAAAGATCACAAGCTCTGAGGTTAATGAAAAAGGATCAAACTCTTCGACTCATGAAAAGGGACCAGTCCTTAAGACTAATGAAGAAGGACCAGTCACTTAGACTCATGAAAAAGGACATGGCCCTTAGACTAATGAAAAAGGATCAAACGCTTAGACTTATGAAGAAAGATCAATTTCCTGAATTAGCTAAAAAAGACCAAACTCTTAGACTCATGAAAAAGGATCAAACGCTAAGACTTATGAAAAAAGATCAAGCACTCCGGATTATGAAACGGGATCAGGCTCTTAGACTATTGAAAAGGGATCAGATGGTTCGATTAATGAAGCGGGATAAAGAACTAGGGATCACAAGTTCATCCTTTAATGATTCTCATGATATTAACCAGGCTATAAGATTATTGTCAGAAAATGAAGAAAAGAGAACAATCCAAGCTCTCCGACTAATGAAGCGAGCCAATGAAAACTCAATGCAAAGACGATCAAACTATAAAAACCAAACCCTTCGACTCAGGAAAAAAGCTGGTATCATCCCTACACTAGGTAGATATTACATACTGTAAATATAGAATGTTGTTTTTGATTTTATTTTTTTAAATTATATTTGTTTTAGTTCAATCAGCAGGAGTGAGACTAAGTAAGAGAGAAGTAGAAAATCTGATAACAAAAGAACAAATTCAGCATCTTCTTTCTTCCAAGCGAGGTAACAGCATCAATAGTGTCAGCATCAACAGTGAACAGGAATAATATTAACAGCATGAATAGTAGCAGCATTAATATTAACAGCATTAATAGTAAAGCATTAATAGTAACAGCATTAAAAGTAACAGCATTAATAGTAGCAGCATCATAAGTACAGTAGCATCAATGATAGCAGAATCACAATTATCAGCTTTATTACTAGTAGCCTCTAAAGCACAGTAATTTGGGTTTCTAATCAAAATTATTTGCACGAAAATTGTATAATAATTGCGCAAAGATTTTTTTATGTTAACAGTAAAATGTGCATGAAATTTTGATATAATTTCACATTGATGCACAAAAGCTATTTTGCGCAAATTCTAGACAAAATATTGGTTTTTGCGCATTTCTTTATTTTCTGCTCTTTAGTTAATTTGAGCTATTTTGTTAAATTTTGAGAAACACTTCCAGCAAATAAATTCATCCAAAATTAAACTAATCAGAGCCGCCCACTTCACTATAATCCCTGCACCCCTGGTGAACCTCACGTTTATTGTTTTTGGTCACTGGTCCGTACCAACAATACCGATTACCAGCAATTAATGTCATTTCTCACTAATTAATCACTAACAAGGTTTCTTGCACAAAAATGTAAGACAATTTAGTGCAGCCAACGGAAAAAGGTAACACACAAACAGACAGACAAACAAGAGAAATGCATCCCTATCTACATAGATTAAGACAAATGATGCGAAATTTCGCACAAAAACGCGAAACTGTTCTATAAGTAGCATCAATAAAAGCAATATCAGCAAGTATCAGCATTCATAGTAGCAGCATCATTAGTAGTAGCATCAATAGTAGAGTAGCATCAATAATATCAGCATCACTAGTATCAGCATTAATAGTAGCAGCATAAAAAGTTTCAACATCAATAATAACAGAATCAATAATAACAGCATCAATAATATCATCATCGATAATAACAGCATCAATAATAACAGCATCAAAAGTAACAGCATCAAAAATAACAGCATCAATAATATCAGCATTAATCGTAGCAGCATCACAAGAAGAAGCATCAATAATAGCAGCATTTATAGTATCAGCCTTAATAGTATCAGCAACAATAATATCAGCATCAATAGTATCAGCATAAAAAGTAACTGCATCAATAGTAATAGCATCAATAGTAACAGCATCAAAAGTATCACCCGCTCAATAGTAACAGCATGACTTAAACCTATTTTTGAGTAGCATGGAGCATATGTAATACAGGAATTCCTATTGACAAAGTTTATTTAGATATTCGAACGCTGCGGGATATTAGAGTGGTTTAGATGTTTAAACACATTTTACAACGTTCTTGTTATAAATCTACCTACATCTATGCTGTAACCTAGTTTTATTTAATTTGTACCCTCAGAATACTGCTGGTTTTAAAATTTGGTGAAAGGGAAGGAGAAATATATTTTAGATTAATAAGTATATCATGTTTACCCCTCTTTTGGACACATTTCTTAGTACAAATAAATATTTAAATTAAATTTTGACTATTCCTTGTTTATTTACCTTACTTTTTGAACACTTTGTTTGCAAGATATTTTTTAAAGGAATACTAATAATTGCTTTCTAATAATGGTAGAATATATAAATATTCAGATTCGAATTAAAAAAAAAATGTGAAGTCATGTTTATATAGAATGCTAGTGTAAGCTTAAATTTCACTCCATTATCGCCTGGTCCAATCAGGGTTCAATCATGTGTTTGTTGTCTATTCTGAACCAATAGAAAAAGTTTGGCGGTAACATCTATATTTCTATCTATCTCTTTATCCAATCAGAGTTATGAATCCTTCAATCGGCGCTATTAGTAAATGAAATATTTACTCTACTGAAACTATGATGATTTAAAGGCTTTTTACGCATTATTCAAGAACTCTGTCCTCGATTATTATTCAAAGGTTTAAAGGGTATCGTTGTGAATTTAAACTTGTTCATTTTAAAATGCACGTACAGTTCCTGTAAAGAGTGCTTGTCTGAATAAAGGTTCATTTGAAATAAAATCTGGAATCTCTTTAATAAGCTGAAAGTTAAGAAGAACTTTTCTGTGATTCATGGAATTGCCTTGAGAGACTGTATACATTTTAACTTTCGCTGAAATCAGGAGATTTGAGAGAATGGTTTCTATAAGTTTGCAACAATTCCAACATATTTCAGAGAACTGAATTCACATCAAAACTTTTCCAAAAGACATGATCCAGACATATTCGATTTCGGAGTTACAACATTTTAACTCAAGAGCTGTTTAACTATATTTCGTGTTATATTTATAAATAAAGTAGTAATCTCTGTTTGTCTGAATTTCTGATCATAACTCATGAACCTCATGGCCGATTTGCCACAAATATTGAAATTCTAATAGAAATGTTCTTAACTTAGTTTAGCAAGTCTCAGTTTAGTGAGTAAACTCCTGTCAAAGCTTAGTCTTCAAACTAACACAATTGATATAATTTTAATAAGAAATAATGCCAACAAGGTCAAAACTTGTGTTTATTCTAAACTTAAACGCTTGATCATGAGGATTAAAATTTGAGGAGAGATATATAACTAGCCTTTGTGTACACTGTAAAACAAAACAAAAAAAATTCGCGGATTTTAACAAAAAATCTCGTGGATTTTCAAAATTTTCAAAATTTTAATGAAAATCGAATTTTGATGGAGACAAATATTTGAAATTTTGATCATTCTTAAACCTTCCCCGGGGCCACGTGAGGTCCCACACAAAATTTAGGCCTGACCAGTTCAGCCGTTTTGACGTTTATTGGATACAAACAAACAGACATCTGCTTAATACGGAGATTAATCATAAGATTTGCCTAATATGGAGATTAATCCTAAGATCTGCCTAATATGAAGATTAATCCTAAGATCTGCCTAATATGAAGATTAATCCTAAGATCTGCCTAATATGAAGATTAATCCTAAGATCTGCCTAATATGGAAATTAATCCTAAGATCTGCCTAATATGGAGATTAATTCTAAGATCTGCCTAATATGGAGATTAATCCTAAGATCTGCCTAATATGGAGATTAATCCTAAGATGGAGATTAATCCTAAGATCTGCCTAATATAGAGATTAATCCTAAGATCTGCCTAATATGGAGATTAATCCTAAGATCTGCCTAATATGGAGATTAATCCTAAGATCTGCCTAATTTGGAGATAAATCTTATAAAGTTCATAAGTTCAGTTTTCTACAGTTAGAAAGCAAAATGTCGTCATCATTGCATTAATATATCAACCTGCACCACTGTGGAAGATGCGTAATTAGGCAGTAAGTAAAGAATAACATGGCCGACCAATATTCGAAAAAATTGTGAAATAAGAAATGCGAAAATTTCCCCGAAAAAAATAGAAAATTTCGCGAAAAAATTCAGAAATTAAAAATGCGAAAATTCATCAAAAAAGACAAAATACAGCTGTGTTCAACTTTTGGTTTTCGTGATAATATTGTTCGCAAAATTTTTTTTTCGCGAAATTTCGCTTTGTTTACGAATTTTTCGCTTCATTCAGCTTTGTGAAAAAATGCGAAATTTCGCAAAAAAGTTAGCGAGATACAAATGAAAATTTTCGCATTTTTTCGTGAAACGTTTCGTTCGCCGAATACCCTTTTTGCAACCCAAAGCTGTAGACCTACGATATTTCAAACTAAAACATTCTGTTAAAGCAAATAGTCTATCTTTTAAATATTTCACACCATTAGGTTGCAAAGACACAGGACTTAGAAAATCCCTTTGATAATACAAATTTTTAAAAAAATGTTGAATAAAATATTCTACGAATTTGTCAATAAAAACAAGTTGAAGGTTGTAGAAAGCCATATGCATGAGATAAAAAAGTTAAGTAAAAGTATCATTGTGTGTGGTAACCCAGCACGGAGGAATGGGTCGTTTCAACCTTTTTTGGAAAATCGATTATTTTGTTTCAAAAACGACAAAGAAAAATTAAAAACAAAGCGATCGTTTTTAAAATATTGTTTTTTAAAAACGGTCTTTTTCAAAAACGATAGAATTATTAGTTTTCAAAAACAAGTGTTTCGCTTTTTGAAAGAGTGGTTCGTTTTAAAATAATAAAAACTTTTGTGAACATGTACATATTAGAACTCGTTTTTAGATGTAATTTTTCAAAGCTGATTTCAAATTTCTTACAGATTTTTTGCGTGATACGGTATAAAAAACAATCACAAATCGTTTTTTTAAAAAAAACAACCGTTTTCTAAAACGATCGTTGTTTGTTTTCTAAAAGTTCAAAACGATTGAAAAACAAAACAAAAAACGATCGTTTAACAATCGTTTGCAAAAACGATTAAGAACCCTAGAACTTGGATCGTATAAAAAAATGAGGAAAATGCGGCTCGGACTAAGAATTATTGTGGCTGGTCCCTTCCAGCCCTTGCTAGAGAGAACGCTTGTTAATTAGACAAATGATTATGTAATAATTAGTTTAATGGTTGCACTCCATTTACAATTATACAACGAATACAAAACTAAACAAAACAAAATGTTAATTTAAATGGACAGACCGGCTATTTAGGAACAGGTTGAGAAAATACAAATAAACTCTTATCATCGAAAATAAGTAATCTTCAATTATTAGTTTTAAAAATCTCTCTTTAATCACAAAGATTTTCTGGAATCTTTATTAAAAAGACGACATTTGAAGAATTTAAAGAAATCTGCGAACACATTCATAGAAAATAAGAAATTTAATATAATGATGAAAAAGGAAATAATTAATTCTAACTTCGATATATTGACAAATTTCTTTTGAGAAATATGTTCCTGAACATACTATTAGTTTACTAAAGAATTGTTACTACATTTTTCGTCGTCGTTATATAATAATAAAAAAAACGATTCTGAAAACCTGAAAATGAACGCACCCAAATTCATGATATTGAACGTCGACTTTGTGCTCAAACTCAGTAATTATACATCGTGGAAACGTTTTATATGTCTCTAATGGATCCTAAAGAATTTGTCCACAATAATGCATACTCAGTTTAACTACCTAACATAGCCGGTCTGTCTCTTTAATGGAAACATAGATTGTAGGCGTGGTGTGTTTAATTTACACCTTTTTTCTGATCAATGATGACAAAGATCTATGTAATTATCTGGCTGAAAATCGATTATTTTGAATCTTGGTTTCTTAATCAAAGTATCTATTTATGATGCGGAAACAAAACAAAAATTTAAAAGTATTTAGAAATAAAAAAGAAAAAGCGACGATATCTTCTATCTTATTGTTACACAGCCCTCTATCTGGGTACAAGGGTTTCCTTTAACCCTCTATCTAAATAGATATTTTGATTAAGAAACCACGATTCAAAATAATCGATTTTCAGCCAGATAATTACAAAGATCTTTGTCAGCATTGATCAGAAAAGAGTTGTAATGAAACTTTTGATGCTGACACTATTGATGCTGATATTATTGATGCTGTTATTGTTGATGCTGCTATTATTGATGCTGTTATTGTTGATGCTGCTTTTATCTTTTATTGATGCTGTTATTGTTGATGCTGCTATTATTGATGCTGTTATTGTTGATGCTGCTATTATTGATGCTGTTATTGTTGATGCTGCTTGTATTGATGCTGTTATTGTTAATGCTGCTCTTATTGATGCTGTTATTGTTGATGCTGCTATTATTGATGCTGTTATTGTTAATGCTGCTATTATTGATGCTGTTATTGTTGATGCTGCTATCATTGATGCTGTTATTGTTGATGCTGATATTATTGATGGTTTTATTGTTGATGCTGCTATTATTTATGCTGTTATTGTTGATGCTGCTATTATTGATGCTGTTATTGTTGATGCTGCTTTTATTGATGCTGTTATTGTTGATGCTGCTATTATTGATGCTGTTATTGTTGATGCTGATATTATTGATGCATTAATGGAACCCCTTGTAAATCGACCACATAAGTCAACTTGGAGATTATTACTTTATATCTATATAAAAAAACAAGAAATTCGTATATATATGTTGCGTATAGCCGGCAAAACGGGTGGACCGATTAGACTGAAATTTGTTGTGGACACTCAGGGGTGGCCGGGGAGTGTTATAGGCTAAAAAAAATCAAAAATATTTTTTTTCAACAAAGTTTTTTATTTAAAAAAGATTCTAAATTTTTTTCCACGGGTATAACCGGGCCCTTCAGCTAGTACATAATAAAACAAGACATTCGTAAATATATATGCTGTTGACTGGACCGATTGAACTAAAATCGAAATCTTTTTTTCTCAAATTTTTTTTCTTTTTAAATTTTTTTTTTCACGGGCAACGCCGGGCCCTTCAGCTAATATTCATATATAGATATACTCATAGAGAATAGAATATATAGAGAGGAATTTACTGTAAAAAAGAGTAAAACGGCCATTTTGTTGTACTGTTTCCATACTGCAGGTGTACTTCACATTTTTATGCTATATAACCTGTTGGGCCCTGGAATATCATTTTATAGAAAATCTAAAATTATTGTTAAAAGAAAACCAAATTATGAAATAGGCTGGTTTCATAATGATTTTCCGTTATAACTATAAATCAAATAATGTTTTTTATTCACCTAATTCATTATAAAGTTTATTTAACGGTTTAAAAAATTTGAAATTGAAATGGATAGTCTAGGGAACATACTGTATTAATGTACTCTACTGCATACAATTTGTGAACATTGACATGATTTGTATACTTTGAACTCCCTTTCAGGCTGAAAGGGACTGAAAAAATTCATACCGAGAGATTCTTTTAATTCCTCTCTATATATTCTATTCTCTATAGATATACTGCTCATAAGATAGTCCCTTAAACATGTAAACATTAAGAGATTATATTTTTACTAAAGAGTAAGTGCGAAGCGGCTTAAAAGCAAATCTTAAAAACAACAAATTATTTTGTTTTATTTTGTAAAAAAAAATTTCAAATCGTTTCTTATTATGTGAAGGTTTCATATTATTTTAGATCTCATGAGTTATCCTTAATCTATTTTTTGAGGTAATTCAAAAACTTATTCTTTTGTTCTTTTTACAACAGAAGTTATAGATAGGTTATTATATTTTTTCTTTCTTTTCATCCAATAAACGTCAAAACGGCTGAACCGATCGGGCCCAAATTTTTTATGGGACATCACTTGACCACAGCGAAGGTTTGTGATTGATAAAAATTAAAAAAATGTGATTTAAAGGTTTTTAATTTAAATTCTTGAAAATCCTCGAATATTTTTTTTAAAAAATCCGCAAAATTTTTTTCTTCTTTGTTTTAAAATGTAAAGAAAAAGAACAGGTTCACAATTTAAAAAGAAGATAGGCGCGAACCGCCCTAAAAGCCTAGTATTATAAATGTAGCGAAAAATGTTGAAATTAACAAATTGACAATTGTTTGTTTCTAACATTTTTTTATGATTCATCTTTTTTATCGATTTAAGAATACATGATTTAAGGATACATGATTTAAGGATACATGATTTGTCAAGATTAAGAATAAATACATTTTTTGATGATTTTATCTAAAAGACTCCAGGAAATTAAAATAGTAACCAGAACTGCATAAAATGAATAGTCGTCTTTATCTTATATTTTCATCAGAAATGTTGAAATTTAAAAATGTATTCAGTTACATACTAGAAATTCATATAATATTTTTCGTTTAATTTAATCTATATTTGATCTATCAATTTGGTCTGGAGTCATTTTTTTCAACCAGAATATGAAGTCCCTTCAAGCTTGTCAATTTCCCGGATTTTTTAACCCAGTTTGCGCATTTTTCAATTAAATTTTAGCAAATCAAAAATATCAGTTGTAGAGAACTACCCTGTATATTTTATTTTCAAATCAGTGTTACATATAATCTTTGTCTTATTTAATCACAATAATGTTTTAGTTTGTCGTGAATGAACCCTAAACATATTCATAACAAGTTATAAATCTAATCAAAATATTGTAATAAGACGACCTTTTTTAAAAATTATAAAGTTTGAGCGATCTCCTTTATGTTTCAAATCTATTCAGCATTATTTATTTTCCAATTCTTACTCTTTATAGTTTATTTTCATAAATTGTCCGGTATGTCTTTTAACTCATCCTAAAATATAAAGGTTATTTAGGCTTTCAAATATTTTTTGAATTTATGCCTCCATTCTTTAAAAATTTTAAAACTAATTATTTTTAATACAGGATAACATTTAAAAAACACTTATAAACCTAAAAAAGGGTAATATCTTCCACATTATTGATCAGATAAAAGTTTTAAGGGTACATTGTGAATCGGGCGTTACAATCTTCGCAAATAGGGTCACATGAATTACGCATACAGTTCTTTTAAATGTACACTTCAAAATATTCAAGAATCGCTAACTAAAATTAAATGTGTAATAGAAATTTTAATTTTACCTTATACAGTGCAAAAGGTGAAATATAGGTGCACTGACACAGGCCTCGGGAATTCTTTTTTCCTATCCTAAAATAAGACTTTGGTGATTAAATTTCAATGCAATAATTTGCAGTTCTCTGACTGAAGAAATAAAGGATTTTAGTGAAGAGTGGAGAGAAAAATAGATATTTTGAATACGTGAAATTGAACTTTTACAACTCTAGGAAAATATCTCAACGTTTTTGAGTGAGATAGCAATCAGCTATAACCAAAGAGAATAGAATATATATTAGAGGGGAATTTACTAGAAAACGTGTAAAACGGCCATTTTGTTGTACTGTTTCCATACTGCAGGTGTACTTCACATATTTATGCTATATAACCTTTTGGGCCCTGGAACATCATTTTATAGAAAATCTAAGATTAATATTAAAAGAAAACCAAATTATGAAATAGGCTGGTTTCATAATTGACCAATGATTATTTCACATAGACTCTATGCCTTTCACTTTACAAACGATGATTTTCCTTTATAACTATAAATCAAATAATGTTTTTTATTCACCTAATTCATTATAAAGTTTATTTAACAACTTTAAAATATTCGAAATTGAAATGAATAGTCTAGGGAACATACTGTATTAATGTACTTTACTGCTTATAATTTGTGACCATTTACATGATTTGTACACTTTGAACTTCCTTTCAGGCTGAAAGGGACTGACAAAATTCATACCGAGAGATTCTTTAAATTCCCCTCTAATATATATTCTATTCTCTTTGGCTATAACACCGAAGGTAATTTGAAACTTTGGACGAATACAGTATATACATAGACACTCTGCTTATGGAGTTACAACAAAACAATATAATTAACAGCATACAGGGTGTCCCACAAAACATGACAGTTGGTGAATAGTTTTGAATGTCATCTTCCATAATTTGTTAAGATGATTGATACCAAAGACAATAATAAAAATATTATATGGGAGTCATATTAAAGTAAACTTGAGTTCAAAGTAAAATATATTTGAGGAAAAGATTTTTTTAACGAAATAAACTGCAAAAAACCTTAAATATCCTAATACAGTATATAAGGACGACATTCTAAACTATTTACCAACTGTCATGTTTCGTGGGACACCCTGTAGCTTTAGAGCTTACTATCATCTAGTTTACAAGTTCCTAGCCTATAGATGAAACAAGCGGTTCAATTTCATGATTGCATTGTTTGCAAATAGTTGCCGTGTTATTTTTAGAATTTCTACAGTCCTCGTAGATACAGGGTGTCCCACGAAACATGAAACTTGATAAATAGTTTTGAATGTCGTCTTACATATACTGTATTATGATATTAAAAGTTTTTTTTCAGTTTATTTCGTTAAAAAAATCTTTTGCTCAAATATATTTTACTTTGAAATCAATTTTACTATAATATGACTCCCATATAATATTTTTATTATTGTTTTTGGTATCAATCAACTTAACAAATTATGGAAGATGACATTCTAAACTATTTACCAACTGTCATGTTTCGTGGGAGACCCTGTTTTTCAGTACAATGTAGACGACTTTTGATGACTTCGAATCTTTCAAACAGCAAATAGACAGTAAAATTTAAACAAAGAGAATTTGTCAATAAAATTTTTTTGTAATTTACTTGTAACTTAAAAAATACTTGTTAGCGATCAAAGCTTTGTAAATAAAAAGTCGTCTTTAATGTATTGCTATTATTGCCGACCACTGTACCTAGCAGCATCATCGATTGTGTCTGGTAAGGTTTCTCCCAGGGTTTCTGGGAATAGTAAAGCCAGCATTCCAGCAACAGTTGCAGTACACCTAGTAATTAGCTATTTTAGATAAAGGAACTGGGTTAGTGCCACAAACTCTTATTTTTTAATCCCAATATTTCTGCAACCCAATGAAATGTCGTGGAAACATGCTAACTATGAATTCTATTAGATCAATAGTCTAAGTTTGAAATATCAAAAGTTTATACAGTGACCGAATTTAATGAATTGAGAAGGTGGCTGAACTCCTTACGGTCGGTTCAAATCCTCATTGATTGAATCAGTGATTCAGGATTTAAACCAGTGGTACGTAGTTCACTGTGATTAAAAGGTTGCGAACTATTTTTTAAAAACTAAGGTTAAAAACAAGCGCTATTAGTTCTAAACTGTATTCATTTAGAGACGCGAAAAAGCATAAGAGAATTAGTAAAATCAAACTCGACACGATTCTTAAAATTGATGCAACTTAACTTAACATTATCTTTGCAACCCTGGTCAGTTTAAATTTTAGATATTTAGAACTTAAACGATTTGATCTGACACCATTCAAAGTTGGAGAAATAAAGTCTGCGACATTGTTTCGCAAATATATATAGAAAAAAATCAGAGTTTGTGGCTTTAAATAAATCTTAATCGTTTTCTTAAATTAATTTTCAACAATGCATAATTTATTTTAAATGGCTGTCCTTTTCCAAGTTAACTTAATTCTTGAAAGGAGAGGTATTTGTGATTCAAAATGGTACTTTTTCAATCAGAGGCGTGTTCAAGGGGCCTCAGCCGTCCCCAGAACCAGTAAAATCTTTGGACTTTAGGGGGTTTTGAGTCCCCTCCCCCCTGTAAAGAAAATGTTAAGCCCCCCCCCCTCTGGCGGAAAAATTCCTGAATACGCCCCTCCTTTCAATCCTACTTTGCATAAATCGATGTTTTTCCATCTGTTTTCTTGTTCAACTTGGTTTAAAGCAAACCAAAAATTAAAATAAACAATGTAAATAATGGATTTAAGCATTATTGATCAGGCAAAGCTTATAAGGGTATCGCTGTGAATCGTAACGGTAACTCTTTATTTAAAAATTCACTTGATATCATGAAGTGAACAGTCCTCTAAAACAAATTATGTACTCTGTGAAGTTAATTTAAACAAATGTTTTGAATTAAGTTAGATTTGAAATGAGAATTTATGACATAAAGTAAAACTAAAATGTCAAGTTTAGATTAATAAATTAATTTCTTTTTGTTTAAAATATGTTTGACGACTTTTAAAATATGGTTATAATTCCAGGAGGGGATGGGGGCTATAGATTGGAGGTTTTACTACTAACTTAAAAATATGGTTATAATTCCAGGAGGGGATGGGGGCAATAGATTGGAGGTTTTACTCCTAACTTAAAATATGGTTATAATTCCAGGAGGGGATGGGGGCTATAGATTGAGAGGTTTTACTCCTAACTTAAAAATATGGTTATAATTCCAGGAGGGGATGGGGGCAATAGATTGGAGGTTTTACTCCTAACTTAAAAATATGGTTGTAATTCCAGGAGGGGATGGGGGCTATAGATTGGAGGTTTTACTCCTAACTTAAAAATATGGTTGTAATTCCAGGAGGGGATGGGGGCTATAGATTGGAGGTTTTACTACTAACTTAAAAATATGGTTATAACTCCAGGAGGGGATGGGGGCTATAGATTGGAGGTTTTACTACTAATTTAAAAATATGGTTATAACTCCAGGAGGGGATGGGGGCTATAGATTGGAGGTTTTACTACTAATTTAAAATATGGTTATAATTCCAGGAGGGGATGGGGGCTATAGATTGGAGGTTTTACTACTAACTTAAAAATGGCAAACACTAGCACACACATGTACATACTCTTTACTTCCACCATTGAAATTAAAAAGAAATATGCAAACTTAAAGGGAGTGACCGGCTATGTAAGGTAGTTGAATTGAGTATGTTATGTTGTGGAAAACTTCATTCGGATTCATTTGAGGCATATTAAACTTTTTTAAAGATCTGTGAATCCTGAGTTTGAGCGCAAATTCGACGTTCAAAATTTCTACTTTTGGGGTAGATACGTTTTCAGAATTAGTTTTTGAAATTATTAAATAACGACGACATAACATGTAAAAAAGTTCTACAATAAACTACAGACGAACATGTTGAGAAAATAAAAATGAATTTTATCATCGAAAATAAGTAATCTTGTTCAATTATTAGTTTCTATTTTCTCATTATTCTGGTTTCTCATTATTCACAAAGATTTTCTGCAGATTTTCTATAACTATTATTGAAAAGACGGCATTTGAAGAATTTGAAGAAATCTGCAAATAATAAGAAATTCAATGTAATAACGAAAACGAAATAATCTGAAAACGTATCCATCCCCAAAGTAGGAGTTTTAAACGTCGAATTTGCGCTCAAACTCAGGATCTGAAGATCTTTAAAAAGTTTAATATGTCTCAAATGAATCCTAAAGAAGTTTTCCAAAACACTGCATACCCAGTTCAACTACCTTACATAGTCGGTCACTCCCTTTAAATTGTGAATCGGGCATGATTAACATTGCATAAAGGGGCACTGGAAATTACGCGTACGAGGGGAGGAAGGCCAGCCACACAATTTCTCGTCCGAGCCACATTCTTCTCAGATTCTCGTCCGAGCCACCTCCGCGTACAGTCTCTTTCATTTTCATTTTTATTTCAACAATCAAAGAGCGAGTAACTGCTTCCAGAAAATACAAATTGGTCCAAATATTTTTATTATTTGATCTATAGTACTTGTAGCTCAAGAGCCCGTTAAAATGTATGTGAAAATATTTGTAGATATTTATTAGTATACTTGTTAAACAAACATAAATATTTTTTAACAATTTTTCGTAGTACATTTTCAACGTTTTTGAAACCTCCTTAGCACAATGACAATTAAAGTTAAAGGTTTAATATGATTTAAAATGTGGTGAATTGTCTCTAACTCCCGGCCCTATCTCAAAACCAAGGGTAAAATCAAAAGTGTCAAGGACAAAAGTATTTCCAACCAGGATAGGGTTATGACACAACATGGGTCATGGGTTAATTTCCAAACATTTCTCAAATCTACGTAACATTTCCCGGTCGATGAATACCAAGCAAAGAAATGATTTAAATCCTACTAGCTTATCATACTGTAGAGATTTGTAAAGCTTACCCCATAATAAATACTGGTGCTGGCTCCCAGAACTTTTTAATCAGGTCCAGCAAGAGGGCTGTTATTCCTCCAATTCTAAATAATGATTAAGTTACATGTAATCTATTTATACAGAGTTCCCACTAAGGATGAGAATTCATCATTTGCTGAATTGAATTTATTCCTATATGCAAGTCTGGAATCATATTATCAACCTAGCTACTAGACTGCAGATTACTATAGCTTCACTCTGTCTAACTGTATAGTGTACATTACCTAGCTACTAGACTACAGGTTCCTACAGCTTGACTTTATAACTGTATAGTGTATATTACCTAGCAACCAGAGTACAGGTTCCTACAGCTTGACTCCATATAACTGTAGTGGATAGTGTATATTACCTAGCTACTAGACTACAGATTCCTATAGCTTAACTCCATATAACTGTAGTGGATAGTGTATATTACCTAGCTACTAGACTACAGGTTCCTACAGCTTGACTCCATATAACTGTAGTAGATAGTGTATATTACCTAGCTACTAGACTACAGATTCCTATAGCTTAACTCCATATAACTGTAGCGGAAAGTGTATATTACCTCGCAACTAGATTACAGGTCCCTACAGCTTAACTCCATATAACTGTATTGTGTATATTAAATAGCTACTAGAGTACAGGTTCCTACAGCTTAACTCCATATAACTGTAGTGGATAGTGTATATTACCTAGCTACTAGACTACAGTTTCCTACAGCTTGACTCTGTAAAACAGTATAGTTTATATATAACCTAGCTACTAGAATTAAGGTTCTTCAAGGTTGACTCCATATAACTGTAGTGGATAGTGTATATTACCTAGCTACTAGAGTACAGGTTCCTACAGCTTGACTCCATATAACTGTATAGTGTATAACCTGGCTAATAGCTTTCAGTTTCCTACATCTTGACTTTATAACTGTATAGTGTATATAACTTGGCTACAAGACTACAGGTTCCTACAGCTTGACTTTATAACTGTATAGTGTATATAACCTGGCTACAAGACTACAGGTTCCTACAGCTTGACTTTATAACTGTATAGTGTATACAACCTGGCTACAAGACTACAGGTTCCTACAGCTTGACTCCGAATAACAGTTGGAAACAGCTCAGCTGTGTAAACATAAACAATAGCAAAGGAGGCAGCAGCACCAAATTTCCCCAGCAATGACAAAAATATCTAAATTACATTATATTTAGAATTGAATGCTTTGCCACATGAAACAACTTGTAAAATTGATTCAATGCTTCACTTCAACATAAAATTTTATTTAATTGGAAATCATTACCTCTAAGCCTTGAAGACCTGAACCTTCCAAGAATGCAATAATGATGCAGGATACACCAGAAATTATCTAAAAGCATTGACAAAAGAGTATAAGAATATTTTTGAAGTTACTTCCCTCTAATACAAAAATCCTTCTTGCAGGCCTCTACCTCTATATTCCACTACTAACCCGGCTCTAGCTAGCCTTTACCACCACCTCTATGTACTGCTTGACAATTTTTTGCCCTGGTTATATAGCTAGCTTTAAACTCTGCCTTTCACCAGAAACCTTTTTGACATGGTTAGAGCTAGCTTGTACCTCTATCTACAACCAGAAACCTTATTGACCCGGCTCTAGCTAGCTACTAACCGCTGGAAACCCTCTTGACTCAACTCTATAGTTATCCCGCACTGATATATACATACAGGAACTTTCTTGACCTGGCTTTAGCCAGCTTCTTTCTCTTTCTATTAAAGAAACCTTCTTAACCAAGTTCAGCTCACCTGACCTCTACCAGGAACCTTTTACCAAATTTAGCCTACCTCTACCTCCATCGACACCCAGAAATCTCTTTAATTATATTCAGCTCACCTCTATCTTTATCTACAGTTTATAGAAACCTCCTTAATTATATTTAGCTCATCTTAACCTCTGTCAACTAGAGGAACCTTTTTGTTAAATTCACCTCTACATCTTTCTACTACCAGAAATTTGTTTAACCAAGTTCTGCTTACTTCTGCCTATATCTACTACAGGAAACCATTTTAACTAATTTCAGCTCACTTTTACCCCCGTCCCTAATACCGGTAACCTTATTGACCCAGCTCTAGATAGCCATCTACTGCTGGAAACCCTCTTGACCCAGCTCTATAGGTTTCCTGTACAAATATATACTTCAAGAAACCTTTTTGACCTGCCTTTAGCTAGCCTCTGCCTCTATCTAATACCAGAAACCTCCTTCTCCTTGCTAGCTATCCAGTACCTGGCAGAAGGATAGAATTGGTCTTCTCCCCCAAATATCCATGAGAAAGATACAAAATATGTAGCTTGGGATTTCAATCAGAACACTAAAAAAGTTTATCAGTTATAAGAAGGGCTGGGTATATTTTTATCCAGTCAGCACTTAGCATACATGGTGTCCCACGAAACATGACAGTATGCAGGACGACTTGAATGTCGTCTTGATTTTTGATATAATTTGCTGCGTTTATTTGTCAACCTAATTTTAGAAGTAAATTTCTAGAGATAATAATCACAAAATTTCCCTTGTCCTGGCATTTCCAAAATGTGGTCTGCCTTTTTTGTGCTTTCAATATTGCCCGAGATATGAAGAATTTCGTTCAGATTTCGACAATTTTGCTTTTATTTAAAAAAATTGAAATCTGAACCAAACTCTTTATATCTCCGGTAATATTGAAAGCACAAAAAACGCAGACCACTTTTTGGAAATGCCAGGGCTAGGAGAATTATGTGATAATTGTTTCAAGAATCATACATGTTAAAGTAGATAGAAGACTAAATAAATAAATTCAAATACCAAAGACGACTTTCAAGTCGTCTTGCTATTGTCATGTTTCGTGGGACACCCTGTAGGTTATCTAGGGCATTGATCTGGATGGTTCATTCCTCATTAGTTCGTTGATATAAAGCAGTTTGCTCCCTGTTAATCAATTTATTTATCTCTCAAAAACTAGTTTAACCTGAGAAAGAAGTTTCCATAAGCATCGCCAGCAAAGGATGATGTTGATGCTGATGTCAATCCGTAGTAGCACATAGTAACACTAAACCACTAACAAAACATAATCAGAGGAGATAAATGAGATCATCATAGAAATATGAACCAATTACCTTGAATGAATGGACTGCAAATGCATCATTTTATGCTTTTGTGTTCATCTGGAAAGCCTTCATAATTCAAAGATAAACAAATACTTACAGGACAGGTTGGCTTGCTTGTTCACAACACTGTAAACTCCAGAGCCAGAAAAATATCATTTAAATCTCAAATTTCCTGTTTTGGGTATAAACATTTTTGTTGATTTACATTCAGCATTAGAAAATAGAAAGAGAATATAAAACTATCCATATAAAATCATAATGTCTTGAAACATATACTAGTTTCTATAAAATTCAAAAATATGTGAAACCCTGTTTCCGATACTGGGTTTTATGACAATACTTGTCTTAAGTTTTGGGCTCAGTTCATTTGAGGTAAGATAATTCCAGGCAGCTGTTCAGTGTACATATAGACTTTAGATGACTATTTGGAACAGTACACCAAGAAAATTAATCCAATCCAGTGAGAAAAACAAGACCATATCATAACTTTCCATGTAGCATTTTCTGTAATATTGATTTGCAGACCATTCTATCTCTACAGGTATAGAACGATATTGTAAACCAATTTAAAACAATTAACATTAATGAATTCAAAAAAATGTAGGCAATGGAAACTGTCAAAAGTTTTGGTTGAATAGATAGGACAAATTTTACAGTTCCATAATGTAAACCAAATATTTTACGGTTTTGTATTTTGGATTGATACAAATTGGAATTTTGCTTTCAGGGTTATTTTTTTAATTCTAGTAAATTCCATTTCCAAAATAAATTTCTGTTCTGTAAAATGCAAATTCTAGTTACAAGGTTGATATGCACCATGCAAAATATGTTATGATTCTTTTACCTGGAAGGACATATTAAGAGTTCTGTTTAGCATAACCCTAGTGCTAAAGAGATCTAGAATTGTCGTCTTCTTTGTTTTCTTTGTAGAAATAGGTTTATCATCGTTTGGAGCTAAGTGCTAAATTAAGAAAAACAAAATAGAATTATTTCAAGCTTTTGCCAATTCTTAAAGTGACTGTTTTAAGACGATAATTTTGTACGGTACAAATTGATCTATCAACATTTTTGTGAAGGAACAAAATTTTGTAAAAGATTTTTTCGTTTAGAAAAAAAAAGAATGAGGACGAACAACTTGGATCGATCAAAGAAAGGAAGAATTGTCGTTTTTTAAAAACAAACTTATACAAAAGATTTTGACAAAATGGTTGTTTTCAAGTGAAGAAAAGACTTTTGGGGAAAAACTTTTCAAAAAACGTTTTTTTTACTGAACAAACCATTTTTTCGGCAAATTTTTAATAAAACTTTAGATTTTACCGAACAAACAATTTTACAAAACGAAATAAATGAAAAATTGCCAAAATTTGTGACAACGAAAAAAATCATTTTTTTTCAAAAAATTTTACAAACGGGTTGTTTAGGAATATTAAACAAATGATAGAAAAGTCTAAAGCGCTACTCTCTATGTCTCACTAGAGACTTAAAGATGCTAGATTTTTGAATGAACTCGATTTTAGAGTGACTTTAAATAGTGATATTATATTTACAATAAATGCATCTACCTGTAAAATATGTTCTGGACACTTTCTTCCATTTTCTTCGGCAACCTTTCTTTAATATTAGAAATTACTGAAGTATAATTGGTTTAATTGAAAATAATTCAGTTGGCTAAAGTCAGAACAAGAAAAATGTAATATGAGGTGACAGCATTTATGTAAGAAGGAAGTATATTTATGTTTTTACCAAGCAAATAGTTAAATATTATGGTAACTTATTAAATAACCTATCAATCATCTGCTAAATCTGTATCCTTATATTCATCTGATTTTTTAAAGTCAAATTTTGGGTCTTTAAGTTGTCTTCCTACTCTCATTGTAAATTGTTTACAAATTATGATAAAGGAAACAATTGTTTTCACCTAATGATTGATTTTGCCTGATCAATCTTGTTATGAGCTACCAGCCATCTTACTGATTCAGGTACACACCAGTAAACTGTTAGAAGTACTGAAAGTACACAATAGTAATTACAATTATTGATGGGACATAATTTAACAAAATTTATGGGTTTTTACCTTTTAAAAGATTCAACAAAAATCTAAGTTAAGTTCAACATTTTGAAATATTTTATTCTAATTACATTCTTACACTATGCCAAATTAAGACCCTGAGAAAATATATGCAAAAAAAAACATTCATAGAGACGCCACATATTAAAATAATATATTTTCTGAGAGATATAAACGTATATTTTATTTAGACTTGATCAGCAAAGGTTTATGGGGTCCGCTTTGAATCTTCTGAAATTACATTGACATGCCCTATAAGACTAATAATTATGGCTTACATGCCATTGGTAGATATGCAACTATCTGAAGAATCTTCCAATCTCTGATCAGATAAGCTTCGAGGCCAAGAACAGCTTCACCAAGAGCAAACGGTATCTCTATAGCGATTCCCATCAGCATAGTGAACTTAATCAAAAATATTAGAAATTTAAACTGTTTAACAAAAATTCTCATCATTTCATATACAAAATTGTATTTTTATTGTTTTACTTGTCTGTTTGTTTGTGTGTGTCCAAGTAAGGTAAAAATTCCAACCTCAGGGAAGAATTTTGATGGGGGCTGGGGGATCTAAATCTTTGTTTAGCCTGGGGTGGGGGGGGCCTATCCTAGAAAAAGGCCCTAGAGATCGGTATAGGGTTAAAATAATATTCAAAGCCCAATTTTTCAAGGCCAGCTATTGAAAAATATTGCACAGATAACTTTAATGTTTGGGTGCTAGGGAGGGGTTAATAAAAATGCATAAAAAAGGTCAGAAAAATTAGAAAAATATTTTTGTTTTGTTTTTAACAAATATCTTATATATACATGTCTCTAAATCCATTTTGCAAGGGCCTTTCAAAAATATATCTTTAGATCTGTAGCTTTAGTCACAAAAAAGATTTAAAATCTTTGAACTAATTTAAGTGACATACCTTATATCCTACATGTTCTACCCCAATCACGAAGCAAACCATGAAGGAACCCACTCCACCCATACCTTTAGGAATATTTGTATAAAAAAGAAAACATTTTATTTTATTTATTTTTGCAAAAGAATCGATTTAAATAATTGTTAAAATTGAAATTAAGATTCAATATTCATGAGAAAACAATGTTCACAAAAGTTGCAGAAAAAAACGAGTTAGAAAAAAAATGTTCACCGGTTAAAAATCTTAGCACTCCAAATCCATGATAGCTTGAAGCCCCAGAACAGAAAGCGCTGGACAAAGAAGAAAAAATGATTATTTGATCAAAAGAAATTTAGCTTTATTTTAAGAAGGGGAATTTTAACCATTTTTTATTGAGATTACAATTATTATAAAGGTTCAAATCAATCTACTTATAAATACTAAAAAAATATAGATTCTAGATCTGGTTTTAATTAGTTTGCTTATTGTGCAGTAAGAATAATACATTTTTAAATGAGAAGAAGATACGTCTGAACTACTAAATTTTATCATGGAATTTCTTATTCTTGCATCTCGGATTTGCAGTTTTAGATAATTTGAGAAATGACCTAAATATTATAGTTATATTTACCCAAAAAATCCAGCCATCGAAACCCAGAGAATAGCCAGCATCAGGGTTTTAATTCTTAATCAATAATTTGAGATAATTTTGTTGTTACAGTAAAGCAATGGTACCCAACAAGAGAGTTCTCTGCACAAGGTTTTGCAAAAAACAAGTTCTCAAAATAAAAGGTATGTGGAAAAAAGAGAATTTGACATTTGTGTCTTGTTCCAGTATGGTTTATTACTAAAACATCCTCGAAAATTATTACTTTGATATTTTTCCTGAGACCTTAATGACACTGGTAGACCCCACACTAATTCTGTTAAAAAGTCCCAGGAATACAAAACACAGGATTTTATTTCCAGTGACATTTTTTGGACTTGGATAAATTTCAGGTTTTCTAAATCAAAAACCCTTTTCTCCTTTTTTTTATTAATTAGTTTCAAATAAACTACCTTCCTACCTTCCAAAAGTGTCTGATAGAAATCCAAATATGAATGATCCAAATAGCATTCCTAGCATGTATAGAGCACTGTAGTATGGACGAATATAAGATCTAAAAAAAATAAAAGTAAAATTTATTTTTAAAAAAGTTTTATACTAGATGGAAATAATTTGTTTAATTAGAGCTTGTTTTGAAATTAAAATCAACCCTGCATGAAAATTCCTGGGTTATTTTTTTATACTTTTTTTGTGGAATTGAGAATAGCTCAATAGTTTTCATTTCTTTTAATCTGTATATATACTTTGCTTGTCTGTTAGGAATTATTTGTTTTTGTGTTTGTATCCAATAAACGTCAACATGGCTGAACAGAATATGCCCGCATTTAACCCTATTCCTGGGGGTCAATTTGACCCCCCCACTACAGTTTTTTTTACATTACTCAAAAAGTATTGGTCTGAGGCTGTTGAAGTTTTCTGACTTTTCCTACATACCCAAAGCCCTCCCTTTAGGCCTAAAACCGGGCTTTAATATTAACTGCCTGAGTCATCAGGCACACTGCATGAATGACTGCTTTTTCCTGTAACAAACTAAATCTTTGTTTTGACCCCACTTCCACTTGTCAGATTTTGATAAAATTTAGCTTTTTGGAAAGCCTTTGACATAAAGAAACGAATTGCACAAGTTTCGCGAAAAAAAATTGCAAATTTTTTGCAAACAACCTGTCAAAGGAAATTTGCACATTTTGAGTTTTTCTTAATTAAAAATCAGGTTATTTATCCCTATCCCTGCTGGGGTACTTGAAAACCAGGATATGCTGAGGGGGGTCAATTTGACCCCCTCCCCCCCTCTAAATCCCATGTTTTATGTCCAAATATGACAAATGATACATCATTAGAAAGCTCTTGTGCTCTGCTTTTAGAATCTGCAAAAAAAATTGCAAATTTTCAAAAATTGGATTTTTTTTTCGCAAAATCCATTTATATATTAAAAATCTTTGCAAAAGAATTTCTCCAAAAATAAAAAAATATACAATTTTGAAAAGCCCTTGACCATGCCATTTCAAATATGCAAAAAATTTTGCCAAATTTTAAATAACCTGATTTTTAATCAAGAAAAACTAAAAATGTGCAAATTTATTTTGACAGGTTGTTTGCAAAAAATTTGCAATTTTCTTTTCGCAAAACTTAAGCAATCCGTTTCCTTATGTCATAGGCTTTCCAAAAAGCTAAATTTTATCAAAATCTGACAGGTGAAAGTGGGTCAAAACAAAGATTTAGTTTGTTACAGGCAAAAGCAGTCATTCATGCAGTGTGCCTAAGGACTCAGGCAGTTAGTATTAAAGCCCGGTTTTAGGCCTAAAGGGAGGGCTTTGGGTATGTAAGAAAAGTCAGAAAATTTCAACAGCCTCAGACCAATACTTTTTGAGTTATGTAAAAAAAATACAGGGGGAGGTCAAATTGACCCCCCCCCGCAGCAGGAATAGGGTTAAAATTTTGCCAAATATTTTGCATATTTGAGATGGCATGGTCAAGGGCTTTTCAAAAATGTATATATCTTTTTTATTTTTTGGACAAATTTTTTTATGCAAACATTTTTACTGGATTTTGCGATATTAAATTCAATTTTTGCAAAATTGCAAATTTGTTTGCAGATTCTAAAAGTAGAGCACAAGAGTTTTCCAATGATGTATCATTTGTCATATTTAGACATCAAACATGGGATTTAGAGGGGGGGGGGCAAATTACCCCCCCCCCAGCATATCCTGGTTTTCAAGTACCCCAGCAGAGATAGGGTTAAAACAACTCAAACGACCCCAGGAAAGGTTTGTCAAAGTTGAACAATATTGTCCGGAAAAAAATCTCGACAATCTATATTTTGAAAATGCGCACATTTAATTAGAAAAATCCGCCAAAATTTTAGAATATTAGAAAATGGACACTTTTAGATCAACAGTTTAAAGCTAAAATTGTTAACAGGAAATGGGCCACGACTCACGAGGCGTCCTAAAATACTGTTAAAGTCCTGTAAGCTTACCAATAGTTTTCCAAAAAAAAATAGTCAATAAGCATTGAATGTACCCATCTAGACTTGAATAAAAATGTCAAAAAATTAAGTCAATCTTTTTAATTTAATGTTGATATGTTGCTAACATTGCAATAAGGATTCAGAGATTGAAACCTTGGGCGTGGAATAACGCTAATCTACAACACGTTATCTTTAATAAGAGGTAAGTGTTTAATCCCCCAATTTTAGCTATTGTTGCAGGATACAACCACCAATTAATATTCAAGAGGTATTATAGGACTGATATTATAATATAGGACTGATCAAGATATGGAAAGATTCTTGAACCACTCAAAAGTTTGGACCTCTGGTAGGTTAAATCAAATAAATCTAAGTTAGGCCGCTGAACTATCTAGAGTCGTTTCAAATACGTTTCTGTAGTTCTGAAGTGTAGTCATCGTCTATAATGGACATGGAAAAATCCTGAATCATCGATTAAAGATATGTATGGTTGAACTCCGTCTCCAGAGTTCAGACCTGCTTCAAATTCATTAAACTGTAACAGTGACAACTGACCTATCACAGACAAACTGGTATTCCTCGACCAGAGTACTGCGCATGATTGCACGATCAAATATCAGCTGATTTATGTCACTGCTGTTTATCTCAATACTCTATCATAAACAGTTATTAATCAGCTTGGGATAAACATCAACTTGCTATTTTATTTATAGATGGGAAAAATTTCAATTATAAATGGGAAAATTTTGAATTATAAGTGGGAAAAATTTGAATTATAAATAAGAAAAATTTGAATTATGAAAGGGAAAAAATTGAATTATGAATGGAAAAATTTGAATTATGAATGGGAAAAATTTCAATTATAGATGGGAAAAAATTTAAATATAAATGGGAAAAATTTAAATTATAAATTGTTTAATTTCAATTATAATGGGAAAAATTATAATTATAAATAGGAAAAATTTGAGTTATGAATGGGAAAAGTTTCAATTATAGATGGGAAAGTTTTGAAATATGAATGGGAAAAATTTCAATTATAAATGGGAAGAATTTTAATCAGAGATGGGAAAAATTTGAATTATGAATGGGAAAAATTCGAATTATAAATAGGAAAAATTTGAATTATGAATGGAAAAAATTTGAATTATGAATGGGAAAAATTTGAATTATAAATGGGAAAAATTTATATTATAAATGGGAAAATATCAACAAATTAAACAAACTTTTTGTCTTAGAAATAAAAAAGAAAAAATATGAAGATACTATATAATTTTTTGTAAAAGCTTTTTCATACTATTTTCATATTCTGTGTATGAAATACATTTTCAATGAATAATAGCTCAGAATCTGGGACACATTAGACAGGATATTCCAAACTATGAATTTTTCAATAAACCAAATAGTAAAATAGTAAAAGTTTGAATTATTAGCATAGAGAATAGAATATATATTAGAGGGGAAATTAAAGAATCTCTCGGTATGAATTTTTTCAGTCCCTTTCAGCCTGAAAGGGAATTCAAAGTGTACAAAATAATGTAAATGTTCACAAATTATATGCAATAGAGTACATTCATACAGTATGTTCCATAGACTATTCATTTCAATTTCGAATTTTTTTAACTGTTAAATAAACTTTATAATGAATTAGGTGAATAAAAAACATCATTTGATTTATAGTTATAACGGAAAATCATCGTTTGTAAAGTGGAAGGCATAGAGTCTATGTGAAATGATCATTGGTCAATTATGAAACCAGCCTATTTCATAATTTGGTTTTCTTTTAACAATAATTTTAGATTTTCTATAAAATGATATTCCAGGGCCCAAAAGGTTATATAGCATAAATATGTGAAGTACACCTGCAGTATGGAAACAGTACAACAAAATGGCCGTTTTACACTGTTTTCTAGTAAATTCCTCTCTATATATATATATTCTATTCTCTATGATTATAGGAATTAAATAATTTAGGAATAAAAAAGAAAAACAAACCTTTATTTTCCAATTACCTTATTTGTATAATATACACCAACACAGTTCCCTTGAGCATCCAGTTCTACACTTGGGATCCTTAAATTGTTAAGCTTTCATTGTTTGAATGTCAAGTTCATGAAATCATTTCATCTTTGAATGTCAAGTTCATTAAATCATTTCATTTGATGTCAAGTTCATGAAATCATTTCATTTGATGTCAAGCTCATGAAATCATTTCATTTGATGTCAAGTTCATGAAATCATTTCATTTGATGTCAAGTTCATGAAAGCATTTTATTGTTTTATGTCAAGTTCATGAAATCATTCCATTTGATGTCAAGTTCATGAAATCATTTCATTTAATGTCAAGTTCATGAAATCATTTCATTGCTTAATGTCAAGTTCATGAATTCATTTCATTTTTTGATGTCAAGTTCATGAAATAATTTCATTTGATGTCAAGTTCATGAAATCATTTCATTTGATGTCAAGTTCATGAAAGCACTACATTTGATGTCAAGTTCATGACATTATTTCATCTTTTAATTTTTAATTTTAAGTTGTCCAAAGCCTTGTCTATGATATTATATGTTGTCTTAACTCTTGTCTATAACGGTACTAGATGTCTTATCCCTTGCCCTTAATATTACGAGGTGTCCTAACCCTTGTCTTTAACATTACAAGAGGTCCTAACCCTTGTCTTTAATATTACAAAGTGTTCTAACCTTTGTCTATAAGTAGGTGTTCTAACCCCTTGTCAAGGTTTCCTAGCCCTTGTATTTAACATTACATGTTGTCTTAACCCTTGTCAATAATATTACGAGGTGTCCTAACCCTCGTCTTAAATATTACAAGAAGTGTTCTAACCTTTGTCTATAAGTAGGTGTTCTAACCCCTTGTCAAGGTTTCCTAGCCCTTGTATTTAACATTACATGTTGTCTTAACCCTTGTCAATAATATTACGAGGTGTCCTAACCCTCGTCTTAAATATTACAAGGTGTCCTAACCCATGTTTATAATCAGGTGTTCTAACCCTTTTCTCTAATATTACAAGGTGTCCCAACCCTTTTCTATAATATAACAAGGTGTCCCAACCCTTGTCTATAATAGTAAAAGGTGTCCCAACCCTTCTCTATAATAGTACAAGGTGTCCCAACCCTTCTCTATAATAGTACAAGGTGTCTCAACCCTTCTCTATAATATAACAAGGTGTCCCAACCCTTTTCAATAATATTAGAAAGTGTTCCAACCATCGTCTATATTATCGACGCAAGGTTGTCCTAATCCATGTTTTTGATATTAAAAGTTATGACCACATGCTACCTAAGTGTCGTTATGACTATGATAATTATCTAATTATTGAATTCAATTTAGATCAATTTTTTATAACTTTAAACATGCTTTTTCTCAGCCCAATCAATAAATAAGCCATAAAATACTATATCTAAGCAGATTTAATTCGACCGTGGCATTGTCATATTTCACAAGAGCTTTAGGTCGTCTTTAAATCTCATCCTTTATATGTAATCCTGTACCTGCAATCCTGATCTCTTAATCTCAAAGCTATATCATCATGGTCATTGTTCAGCCAAGGGGGAAGAGTTAAACTGAACACAGTGTTTAAAAACAAAGCAAAGGAATTGACATGCTATCATCATGTTCATTGTTCAGCCAAGGGGGAAGAGTTAAACTGAACAAAATGTTTAAAAACAAAGCAAAGGAATTGACAAGTTATATCATCATGTTCATTGTTCAGCCAAGGGGGAAGAGTTAAACTGAACACAATGTTTAAAAACAAAGCAAAGGAATTG